AATCATGGTCAAAGATAGTGAGATGTCTTATGACGGTGACTGACGGGAATGAAGGGGAATGGTGGCGAATGATGGGGAATGACACCCAATGACAGCAAATGATGCCAAATCACATAAATACAAGAAAAATATATAGTCCGATTTGGCAGTTTGGTGTATATAGAACATGAACGTATTACCCATCTTCTTCGTGCCTGGCCGTTCGCGAGTGGCTTCAAACTTTATTTGAACAAAACATCTTATTGGATGATACTACTATAGATGTCGTTGTTCCATTGGTTCTTTCCACGGCCCTTGTATATAACAAAACGCATCCTACATGAACACAGGAAACCTGTTCATTAAAATATCAAACACTTTTATATGATATTTATTGTAATTTCCAAGACGAATTAGAATTTATTTTGCAAATGAAATTATAGCAGTTTTTTTAGATTTCTGGGGATAGTTTATTCTTATGCTAAAATTCTAGCTTCAGCAGCCATTGACGAGTTCCGTGGTTGGAAGGCCTGCTTGGGGTCTGGAGGCGAGTCGTGTTCAAGTCGAGGAACCCCAAGACTTCGAAAGATCAGGAGAAGTAGGAAGTGTCAAAAATACAGGAGTTTTTCCCCCATATCTGGTCTGGATACTTCAGCACTGACTACTATCATAAGGTATTAGCTCATTTGCCTTTTTATCATGAATACTTTCACTCAGATCGAACATTCTATATTTGTTTTATTGATTGTAAAACTTACTGTAAATATTGGTTTGCGCCAAGGACGGGTTTGGTTGATATTTCCTGTTCTTTTAGTCATGATTTCTTGCCTGTTACAACTCCCATTGGGCCTTCAGAAAAACAGTCAAATCTTTCCCTTGGCTTGGATATTATGATGAATATATGGATGTTGATAATGATGAGATCGGTAAACTAGTTTTATAACCACGAGTCTTGCTTTTTCTTGGTTTACTTGTAATGGTATAGAGCTCACTGTTGTGAATCGTCTTGAACTAAGCTCACATTGCAGTTTAGACTACAAAGAAGCACCAGCTACTATAAAATACCGTATTATTAATCACTCTTAATGTCTGTTAAGTAATAATCTATTGCTTGTATTTTGATCTTTTGGGATTAACAATATTCATTTACTAGTTGTCTTCCGAGGCGAGGACCTAAAATAGCGAAACTTCCCTTACGGTGTTCAAGCGAACATACGTCACCTCATATATTAAACAATAATAACTTTCTAAATAAACACTGTATTTAGAGAAACTTATGAATTTTCGCAGCATTAAAGTTTTGATCTTTTGTTCAGATTATCTTTATATTCATTTTAGACAAGGAAGTCAATATGATCTTGACCAATGTTTCATTTCCGGCCAGCTAATATAATATAGGCCGTAATCGCATATCGACATCCAACAGAAGTAGAACTATGCATAGGAATGCGCACAGTTTTTGAGGTGAATTTCAAGAAAATTAATATTGCTGCATTCAAATAAAAATAAAAATGTAAATGATTAATATTAAAAATGATATTATTATTGGGTCAATTCAATTCAGTATATTTTTTAAAAATTTTCCTCAGTACAGACTACCCTGTAGGCATATATCTAACATCATTCAAGACAGAAATTGTTTTTAATTATTATATGATAATGATGATAATGATTATTATTATTGTTGGAATCCCAGGTGATTGTTAATCAATAAAATGGCAAGTGGTCCTGCACCAGGAGCTACCATTGTAAAAGTTGGATGGCTCCAAAAAAGAGGTAGGAATTTAATAGGACTGTTTCAATTTTGAATCTTGTTATGAAAGAATCATAGCAGAAGCTCATCAATACAAGTAATGCCCTTAAACAGGGGCAGCGGAAGGGGTGGGGCTACAGCCCCCCCCCACTTTTTCCCTTTTTCCATACTAGTCACTAGTCTCTTATATTTTTAAAAATCTTAGCCCCCCACTTTTTCCCATAATAGTCTCACATATTTCCAATCTTAGCCCCCCACTTTTTAGGGTGTTCCGCGACCCCTGTTAAAGCAAAATTGATACTTGTTGATTTTAGGTGAATACATCAAGAACTGGCGGCCTAGATACTTCCAGTTATGGAGTGATGGAAGTTTTATTGGATACAAAGAGATCCCTAAAAGCAAAGATGCCGTACCTCTGAATAACTTTACTGTAGCAGGTTAGGAAACATTTATCTTGTATTCATTTCTAATATTTTAAAGGTTACTTAAACCCTAAGTTTAACAATAAGCAGTTTATTTATAACTAAGTCATAAACAATTTGTCATTGCTAATCACCACCATATAGGAAGGAAATATGCATCCCCACTTAATTCCTCCCCACAGCTAGTAAACTAGAGGGTACTTATTTTTTTTCAAAATCTTGCTATGTTTTATTTTTCTGGTGATATTGTATGTTGGGAATAGGGTGCATGTAGCGAAAAGATGTTAATGTCCCTTGTGGCTGTAAATTCATTTTACAGCCACAAATAAAACTTTCAAATGATAATCCTGTGTCATATTACTAGCTAGACGGGTGAAAAAAATCACTTACCATACACCTATTTTTGATTAAAACTCATATAATCAAATGGGACTCTATGCTACCTTGAATTGAGTTCTCTATATATCACACTAATACCTTTTGTTTATTTTCCAGAGAGTCAGATTTTAAGGGTTGACAAGCCAAAGCCCAATACGTTTTTAGTGAGGTAATGGTTAAGTGTTTTTAATCATAATGGCTTGTCTTTTAGATGCCAAAATAATTAACTAGCTATAATAAGTAAGGTGAACTGTTTGCGAAAAACGTTTTGCACAATGTTCAAATTATGATTATGACTATATATACACTGATGCCACTTGAGTTACTTGCTAGTTTTTGTTCAAGATTGACGGATTATTTGAAATTCATTTTATCTTAGATGTCTGCAATGGACAACATTTGTTGAGAGGACTTTTCATGTAGATTCATACGAAGAAAGGTACAGTATTTCTATATGGTATATGTATGAGCAGCCAGGTGTTCCTAGGATGCTTGTGATCTTACTTCACAATGGCAGTTTGTTTGTAACATGCTTATTGGGGAAGAGGACTGAGATAATTTGTTGAAGGTTAATAAGAAGATAATACCCTCTACTAACCTGGATATATGCACCTGCATTTTGTGAATAGAATTTTCAAGGGTTTTCTCCAATCCAGGTTCTCCAGGTTTCCCCCCTTTGATCCACAAAATTCAACTTTACCAATTTCAAATTCAAACATGGAATGGGGGTTACTGTACCTTACATGGGTGGCGTAGTGGCTTTCCCCTTACCTCTCACCTCTGTGGTTCGGCTTCTACTGGCTTGGAATAGATCACATATATGTGAGTTGAGTTTGTTTAAGGTGTTATTCTCACACTAGGGGTGTGTATAAAAGGCCAAAAGTATTGGAGGGGCTCTATTCTAAAAATACCCATAGATGTACATACTTGTATTAGTAATAGACTTAAAATTCTCAGTTTTCAATATCTTGCAAACTTTTAATTTATCAGAGAAGAATGGATCAGTGCTATTCAAAAAGTCACTGATCAGGTACACGACAGTTCTGAAGGCACAGTTGATGAAATAGCAGACTCCAAACTGGTAGGTACAGTGAAGGAATTGACGCAAGCGGAATCGGAAGCCTTGCTTTGGCGCTTGCTTCTTTGTTGTTCCCATAGTTACCAGGTTTGCCGCCATGTCTTTTGCTCTGAATAGCCTGGGCATGACCTTTGTCTTTGGTAAAAGCTTTCAATCTGATTCTTTGATTGCCACTTGATCCTACATGTCATAATCGGAATCGGAAGAAAAAGAAAACTTGATCCTTCTGATGATTCCATCACACTCCTGCTTTGGATTCCGACTCCAAGTATTGGTTCACACTAGATCGTAAGCGATCTTACGACGACTCATCTTTATTTATGGTTATGATTTTCAGACTTTGGATAGCTTCACAATGTTGAGAGTGCTTGGTAAAGGGACTTTTGGAAAGGTATACATGCTCACTTACTCAATGTAAATATTATGATTTATTATTTTCTGCAAAGTACAGTATTCATGACTAGGCAATTTTCTTACAAGGTTATGATGGCACGTATGAAAAGCACAGGAGAAATATGTGCTCTCAAGATATTGAAAAAAGATGTAATAATTGCTAAGGTATTTACAAAAAAAATATTATCTCATTCTCTTCTCAGTTTAATGGTTAATTTTGGAATTTCTGAAGAGTGGGGGGGGGAGTCAGAGAAAGAACGAAAAATATAGAGGGCGTATAAAGGAAAATTTGGAATATTCAGGGGTAGGAGGGGTGTTTTAAAACTATTTCTCCATGAGGGGGTGTGGATATTTTTTGGAACTACACAATTTAAAAAAATGAAATTGAAACAAATTTAAGTCAAGCATAGACAAAAGAAACCATTGTGGGATTTATTAATTAAATGTGTGATAGAACTAAAATTAAGAGAATACCGTGTATAATAAAATTATAATTGGTTTACTGATGGCTTGAGTTCTATTTGTTCAAAGGATGAAGTTACACACACACTGACAGAAAACAGAGTTCTTCAGTCAACAAAACACCCATTTTTAACAGTAAGTATATCACATTAATCGTGCATTAGATGAATGAATCTAATAGTTAGTATGCATACTGATACATGTCTTACTTTCAAATCAAAAGAAAAGAAAACACTTGCTTGATTCACAATACTGAAGGAATGTTCATCAGCTGAATGTTTGTAAATTAGCTTCAGGACAGCACATGGTTGTCAATCAAAGATGTTTATCAGCTGAAACCCATCAATATGATAAATATCTTCTGAATATTTATTGATTTATTGTTCCTGATAACCAGCATCTATTTTGTTGTTGAAATATAATTTTTATAGTCTCTTTCTTGTAATAGATGTTAGTAGGAATATGCTAAAAATAAATTCTGACATATAAAATTCTTCATTTCTATTTTTTCCTTAGGAATTAAAGTGTTCATTTCAGACACCTGACAGGTTGATATTTGTGATGGAGTATGTCAACGGTGGTGAGGTATGATCAACAAACACCAAAACCCATTACATGCGTGTAACTAGTACTGTGTATTACGTAAAACTAGTGGACTATAATAATATTGCAAATAATTTTTTCTGATTGGCTATAAGCTACTAGTCTATTTCTCAAACACTAGGAAATGCATGTCCATGCTAGAAAATTAGATAAATTAAACCATTAGATTTCCTGCCTTTATGAGCCCCTTCACTTTAAATAATCTTTCCAACCAGGTCGATGCAATCTAGCTGTTAATTAGAATAGTAATACCTTATGATTTAATTAACTCTCAACATCAGAAGTTAACTTTGTGTATTAAATGAAAAAATTATAAAGTGTACCTGTTTCATTTCCATTGCAGCTGTTTTTCCATCTCTCTAAGGACCGTGTCTTTTCTGAAGACCGTTCAAGATTCTATGGTGCTGAGATGACTTTAGCAATCAAGTATCTACACGACCATAAAGTTGTTTACAGAGATTTAAAGGTTAGCCCTTAAAGTCTGGCCATGCTTATGGTATTTATTTTAATCTGTTGAAATCTCCATCAGGATTTTACAAGCTTAAAAATAAAACTTACTCATGATCATTGACCATGATTTGCAAAAAGAAACTTAAGTTTAAGAATAGTATCTTAATCTGCTGCAACTCATAGTTTTAGCCTAATAAACAAATAGTTCCAACATGTTTATTTATCAAATGCTACTATATATTAAATGTAGCATACTAGCTATATCAAGGGTGGATCCAGGGGGTGAATTGGATGAATAGTGACTCCTGTTTGGAGTTAAATAATATTATAAGAATAAAGGATACAGTAAGACCCAAAAAGAACACCATGTGGTGCTTTTGCAGTTATTACTTTAGATGTTTTATTATTTTGAAATGGTTCAGATCAATGAAATGTTTTCATATTTGTTTCTTCAAGCTGGAAAACCTGCTTTTGGATGCTGATGGACATATTAAAATCACAGATTTTGGTCTATGCAAAGAAGAAATCTCTTATGGTGCAACAACAAAGACATTTTGTGGGACACCTGAATATCTTGCTCCAGAGGTAAGTAGTCTGCATATAGTACAATGGCCCTATTACAACATTATTATAATGGACAAATGTAATGAGTACCTTTTTTTACATAAAAGTTTTACAATCCTAATTAAACGTAATCCTCTAAAAACATTATTGATTGGATGTTTCAGGTGTTGGAAGATAATGACTACGGGCGTAGCGTGGACTGGTGGGGTGTAGGTGTGGTCATGTATGAGATGATGTGTGGCAGACTGCCATTCTATAATAAAGATCATGAAGTGCTCTTTGAACTCATCCTAACAGTAAGTAGATGTTATTGCTTATTGACTGGGACTGAGGGAAACAGCGTGTTTGTGTTTCAGAGACAACAATGTTTCTTTCACCAAAGCTGAGAGAAGCATTGCAGTTGAAGGACCACAAAAGACATTGTTGTCCCTGAGGTCACAGGACACAAAATGATTACAACTATATTTGAATTTTGATTGACAGTAAAAAGATTCAATATTCGTAGCTCCCTAAAACCTTGCCACAACTCATTCCCAGGATTTATTCTCTACCTTCAACAATTACATACATGAACAGAAAATCCTGCTATGAAGAAAAAAACACAGAAAAAAGTCTGTAGAAGTAATTATTAATTTCGAACCGGAAGTCATTTTTCATTTTAATTATGTTACACTCAACAGCTCTGAGTCACTTCAACAGAATTTGCTTAATCCTTTGAATACAGCATTTTTACATGATATGATTGTTCTATACCTACAGGAAGATGTGAAGTTTCCCTCAAGATTATCAGAAAAAGCAAAAAGCATTCTTTCAGGGCTACTTGAAAAAGATCCACAAAAAAGGTGAGAGTTATATCATAATACTTAATTTTCTTGTTTGGAGTTCTATGAAACATTGAGTACAAAATGACTGTTTATCAGCCATTGTCCCCTCAGTAGTGACTTGCTAACATGAATGGATGGACTAAAACAGGGCTTAAAATATCAGCTGGACAATGTCCATATGGAATTGGAACTTGTCTGGTCAAATCTTTGCCTTGCGAGTCATTTTGACAGGTAAAATTGAGTAAGAAAGAAGCCTGACTAAAATTAATTTGGCTGATCAACGTGACTGACCAGTGGTTATTTTAAGCTCTGTAAAATGGTGTAACTTCACTCCAAGAAGTGTACTGGAATTTAGTTAAAAACAAACTTAGGAGATCAGCTTATCAGCTCAGATTCATGATTGTTTTATCAGGTTAGGGGGCAAGTCAGACGACGCCAAGGAGGTCATGAAACATCCTTTCTTTGACATCATCAACTGGGATGATTTATACAACAAAAAAGTGAGTTTCTTTAGAAATTTAATCGATGTATCTAAAACAAAAATGCTTTCAGAGTTATGCTATTGGTTACCAGTTCATTTTAGTAGGTGGATTGAATGTGTGTTATAGAGGCTTTGCACCATCTTGTGATGGCAGCCATGACAGAAGGCAGGAAAAATTAAATCTGGTCTAATCTGGTTTACAAAGCCTTAAGAAATGGATGGAAATGACCTGTAAAGATGACCATCCTATGTTACTTTGTTTCTAATGGGAAATATGTTGTTCTTTGAACTTCATAGATAAAGCCACCTTTTAAGCCAGTTATCAAGTCTGAAACAGATGTTTCCAACTTTGATGAAGATTTCACTAACGAACCAGTCAGACTCACTCCACCGGAAGGTATGATATATTTATATTATTAATGTTATCAATCCTTATATCTATATCTATAATCTACATATGAGCAGTTCTGGATTATGTCAACTTTGATCACCAAACAGTCTCAGGGTAGGAGGGACTGGTAAAAAAAAACTTGTTCCAAAATCTTGTGAATATTATAGTGTGAATATTTGCCTCTAGGCTAGTCATCGTGGTTCAATAGGGCCGGAGTTGCTGGTTGAGCAATTAACATAATTAACATTACTTAGTTATTGAAAACAATAAAACATTTTGATGCAAGCTTTATTTTCTTATTCTCTTATCAGGAAGCCATCTTGAAGGGATTGCTGAAGTTGATGAAGGTGAAGCATTCGACAAGTTTACTTTTATACCAGACCCACAAATTTCATGATGTTTTTATCCATCGAGGACATTACTCAAGTCAGTCATTCTCTCTCGTATTACTAATACTATTGATAGCTTTGAATACTTCAGTGGTTAGGCCTTATTTCCTTCAAAAATGCTTAAAACTTTCATTATTAACTGGAGCTATTTGTGAAAGTACCTTAATACAATATGTACTCTTATGATACACTAGACAAAATTACTGGCTTCTGATTGAACAAGAGGAGTACAATTAAATCCCAAATTGTACTCTGTAGAGTCTCAATTAAGTTGCTCAATTTCGTTGAGTAAACACAATGAACACAAAATAGCATGAACTCAAGTACAATTTGGAATTTGCAGGTACAAGTGATGTTTTGAGAGTTTTCAAAATTGGACAAGCCTTTATAGTTAGGCAAGTTCAATTTGAGAACTTTTAAAACATCATGAGTATCTATAAATTCAGAATTGTTTATAATACACTCAACAAAACCAAGCAACTTAATTGGGACTTTACAGAGTACAAGTTTGGATGAAATTGAACTCTTCTTGTCCAATCAGAGTCGAGTAATTTTGTTGAGTCTATTATAAATAATAAGTACTAACGATAATAACTACTGATAAATGAAAAATTATATTATTTTCATACGGGGAATCATTCAAAACCAATGTTGTTCATGCCGACTGCAAATATGTCACGACAAAGGAAAAAGGGTGTCCAACAATTAAGATTATAGATCTTTTAAAATTGGGAGAAATGTTTTCCCATTTCATACCATCTTTATTTCTGATTCAGAGACAAGTAAATAATATGAAATGGAAATTGTGACAATTTAAAATAAATTGAAATGGTAACTGTCACATCAAAGCTGAAAAGTTCTAGAGTGAAGTCATTAAACCCGTGCAATAGATATTAGACTAATACACTTTGTGTCTTTTTGACCATTACACTTTGACTAGTATTTTTTATTTCACGGGTTAAATGCCTCCGCTCTATTCCTGAATTAAACTTTCCATTTAGTTACCATATTTCCTCTATTAAGCACCCGGCCTCTAATAAGCCCCCCTCTAATATGCACCCAGTCCAAAACCACTGAAAAAGAATAAGCTGTTTGAGGGCTTAATTGAGAGAAGAGAGGTAAACTAATCCAATACATGTATTGATCCTATAATAAGATTTCTAGGATTTTGTAAAAAGCAGTCACTTTTCACTCACTGCAGGTAATTGTGCTTAGTGATAAACTAAATATCCACACCCTCCACCATAGTGGAAGTTTCATGGGTTTATATTGTTGGCACTTTAAGATGGTTTGATGTTGAATACTGGAGAGTTTTGGGTATCCATTAGGCATCCCAATACTCAATTTTATGGTTCCATTCAGTGACCACAAATAATAGTATCAAGTCAAGGCTGGAATTTCTGCGCATGACAAAGCTATACTTTTTATCATGCGCAGCGACTCCAACCTCGGCTTGGAACTATTATTCATGGACACTGAATAAAACTGTAAAATGGAGTATTCTCATCCCCAGCTGGAGGTTTTTTTTTTTGGGGGGGGGGGGGGGGGGGGGGGGGGTCATCTTGAATAACGAGGCATTATGGTTTGTCCAGGGGGCCAATAGACAAAGCTTTGTTTCAATAATGACATCGATTGACATTTATGGTTCACAACAAGACAATTCGACATGGGATAAATTAAAATAAATGAACAGTCTCACAACTGAGGAAATTCTTCAAATATTGTGGGGTCATCATTTCAGCATCTTTGTTTTGTTTTGTCCCCTGACCCATAATGCCTTGCAATTCAAGATGGTCACGGCATTATTGAGGTAGTCCATTTCCATCCTCGACTGGAGGGGAGGGCACTGGTATGTATAATCTTCATTAGTAAAGGAAGGAAGATAAGACTAAGATGGTTAGGTGATACTCTTGGATGAACTGGATTTCCAGTAGAAAAAATATTGGGTACCCTTTAGACACCCCATCCCGAGCTAGAGGGAAGAGGAGAGGATAGGGATATTTTGCGAACTAAATAGAATTAGTACATATAAAGATATACCTTTTTAGCTAGGCATGTTTTCCCATTTCAGACCACATGACATTTCCAAGAGTATAATTTCTTTGTTGAATGATTGTGCATGAGAAGACAGCCATTCAAACAAAGAATCTTACTCTCTAAGGAATGACACATGGTATGAAATGGGAAAACATTATGCCCAAGTTAATTTAGAATACACACTGTCTTGTAGATTGAGTAATTCTAACAAATTGATAATTTTTACATTAGTATTAGTCTGCTGATACAGTGGTAGAACAGAATTCTAGATTGGTTTTGTTTCTAAGAATATTTTTTTATAATTATCTTTTTGTACAATTTCATAAGTAATTTGTAATATCATTTCAATCCCATTCTTTGCTATTTTTGTAAACCATACGATAATAAACATTAAGAAAAAGTTTGACGCCACTGGTATTATATTCTGGGGACATGGGGCTTGAAAACATGGTGTCATGTTGACCGTTGCCATAAGAATAAAGACCTTCATTTAAACATTCACATACAACCTAATTCTGAAGTGCCAAAAATCTGCCAAATAAGAAAAGTCTATTCGACCATGATCTTCAGTTAAGGACTTCATAATGATTTTCCAAGATTTACCCCATCTTGCCAACTTTTTTGCATGCAAGTAATTTGTTCACTACTTCTATTACGAATGCACAGCTATTGCCAATTCTCATCATTACAGACACCAAGTAGTGACAGTCCACATAGTGACCACAATAATGAGTGGGTTCTAACAAGTCTACCAATCCTCATAGACATAGATTTAGACAGATTTATTTTTGGTACCTGAATGTTTACATTGATCAAAGGTATTCCCTTGAATTGTTTTGACACACAAAATCTTTGCTTTATTATACAAATGTTCAGGGTTTTTTTACAATATTTTTATTTACACCTGACTGTGTACAGTTTTGAGATTTAGAAGCACAATGATCACACTTAGATCAGCACTATATACAAGTGTGTACAAAATCTAGTTCCTACTTTAAGTCCTGATGCCCATGTTTGAATATTTTTAACAAAAGCAGTGAATTTAAAAGTGTTTTATCTTTGTAAAAACTTTTCAATATCTATTATCTCAAATTTAGAGATACAATCCAACAGCCAGCCTACAGGTGCAATAGATGGCCCTCTAACATTTCTTACTGCCTGTTTATTTTGTGACAGTGGGTCATAAATAATGTATATAGTACATCTATATTGCGTAGAGTCTGGTTGTGCATGGTATGCTACAGTAGATAGTGTAGACAAGTGCATGGTGTCTTTGTTATACTTGGATTGAATAATAAAGGGAGAGTAATCAATCTCCTGCTTGGGTTCACGAGTCAGTATTTTGCCTCCTCCATATTTCACTAAACTAATAAGATCTTCTTTACTTGGTGTTTTGGGATCAAATGTTCCAGAAAAGAAAAACTGGCAACCATCAAACAACCCAGGGAGCTGTGAAGATAGAATATTTAAATCAATCAAAGCTTATTGTCTTGGAAAAACTGGGAAGGTTTTAGATTCCTTACTTTCTCCTAAAACTCTATGTCCACTGATAATTATCTTATGCCTTCTCATTTTATGAAAGTAATATTGATAAACATGACTGGTTTGTTACCTGTTGTAGATGATTGACTCTTGCTTGATGTGGAACGCCACTTTTTGCAGTACTTGTTCCCTTCACTTCATAAGGAGCTTCATCTACCCATTTATTGGTCGACAGACACTTCGTAATCCCTGGAAGTTGATGTCCTCAAATTTTTACAAATGGGTATTTTTAATTGGTTTTACATTATTCTATAATCTTTCTTGAGCAATGGCTAAACATTGTATATTGGTGGGTGCAGTTTTTATAGACCTTGGCACTGAATGAAAGGTTTGTTGAATTATACACCTGGTTGGCAGTGGAAGAAGAATTAACCAATGAAACAAATTGCATTTCCGTTTGTCCACCTTAGTATAGGTTTTGACAAGTGCCATTTGTGTAATAATGATGAAAGGAACAGCAATTGAAGTGCACACTCAAATGAAAATATAGTGTGCAGGGCTTAAAATAATGGCTGGACCTTGGACAATGTCCGACCAGAAATGGGACATGTCTGGTCAAAATCTTTGCCTTGCCTGTCATTTGACCAGTTTACAGTATGATTAAGCTAAAACTAATTTGGCCTTTGGATCATGACCAGCAACTAATTGGCAGTTATGTTAAGCCAAGGTGTGATATTCTACTGAAGAGCACAATAGGCCCTTTGCAGCTAAGCAATCATGTGCTGATTAATTCACTGAGAGCAAATGAATGAACATTTTGATTCCCAAGGGTGAAATGTACTGGACTGCAAACAAACTTTCTACAACCTGTTTTGAGAGATCGTAATAAAATTGCATTTCGTAACACGCTGGATACACATCGTTTCATTCAGTTCTTTACAAGTAGCTGAAAAGAATCACCAATTTAATATAAAAACAAAAAATTTGCCCTCCAGTACAGACACGTGACCGTTAACTGCAAAGGGCCTATTATTAAACTTTAGGTACCAATACTGACTTTGATTTTGGCATTTTCAGATTGTATACACAAAATCTGAAAACCACACCATTGACTTTTTGGTTGATAATAATTAGCAACATCACAATAAATATTATTTAAATTCAGTTATAAAGGACTTACACCCAAATGAAACGATCCATTTGCCACACAGGATACCAGACAGATACTTTATAGTGCGACGACATAGGCCTGAATTGGAGGTGCTTGTTATGATATGAGTCACTAAAATTGTATAACATTAGGGTGTTAGTTCTGTGACAGTCACTTGGACAATGTAATGTGCTTCGCTTTACACCAAGAGGGTGGTAGCTGGCCATTAATCAGGAGGCAATCCCACAAATCTTTAAAAGAGTTCAATAGGATGATGTTTTAAAACCTGAAGGAGCAAGGTATATAACCCCAGTAATGAACTTCTGGAAGTATTTATTTCCTCAATGTCTTGATTTATGATTATATTTGTATAAAATAAAAAATACATATTTCGAAATCCTAGTCCATCATCAGCAACAATAAATTTATTGGATAAGGAATAAAATGCTTTGCTTTCTTTATTCAGAATGGAATTCAGCTGGCGACAAAGCAATAGGTTCCAATTCTCAGGAGATTGGAATTCTTTTGTTTTGTCCCCCAGATTGATCAGCTGCTTTGATGTCCCATACAATAGGGCTTTATCCAAGATACTGTATTTGTTAACTTACCATCGATTGAGAATTCATTCACAAGTTTTCCACCGAGAATGCTTGCACACAGTTCTAGTTTTTCCTGAGAAGATATTGAACTATTAGGAAAAGGCTTTCCATTTCTTATATAATTATTCCATAAAATTTTATTATATACTTTATGATACTAGTAAAGTGCTCACACTTAATCTGTGAAATAGAAGAGTGAAGGCATTTAACCAGTGAAATAAAAAAGTCAGTGAACATGTAATAGTCAAATAGACACAATAAAAAACAATGGAATTAGGGCCTACCAGTGTGTATCTAATTCACTGGATTATTGAATTCACTCTACTAAATTTATTTTGCATTAAATAGTACAAAATTGTGTGATGTTTTTATTGTGCTAATTAGAAAAAAATAGTTTTACTGAATTATGGTAATATTTCAGATGTAGTAGATAGTTACTACTAGTTAAAATACTCAGTGGGATGCTGTACAAATAAAGAATGTAACGATCAATGAAGTGTACTTACCTTTTGTTCTGTGCTCAGCCCAGTGTATAGAAGAACTTTTGCTGATTGGTGTGCTGGAGGCTGTGCAGAAATTAGAATAGTTAGAACTGCAATTTGTTGGGATATGCTATTTTATGACCAACCAGGAAACTCAAAGTTTCAAGCTAGGAGACAAGCACATGGATTGTCATGGAAAAACCTTGATTTATGTCCAGGGCTTAAAATAAAGGCCTATCAGTCACTGGTCATGATCACAGGCCAAATTAGTTTTAGCTTAGTCATACTGTAATTCTGGCTAAACATTACTGGTCAAGAAGACTGGCAAGGCAAAGAGTTGTCTGGAAAAGTTGCATTTCTGGCCAGACATTGTTTGATGTGCAGCTGTTATTTTAAGCCCTGATGTCCATGAAAACCAACTTTGGTGCAATGGCAAATTGTATGATTCTGTGTAAGTTAGTTTGTAAGGGAACACTTACCAGGTTTGTCTGTAGCAAGATGTTTTCCTTGTCATTTGTCAATGTTTGACACTGCACAGAGGATTCTTGCTCCAGTAACCTTTTCATTGGGTCAGTAAATGCATATTCAATAGGAGTAAGACCTTGATTGTTCCTGGAAAAAAAAATTAATATACAAAAATAACATTTTTGTTGATTCCCTGAAACGACCTCTTGACTGATCTAAGGCATGGATAAGGTTTGGTGAAGGATGGAAAACTGGGGAGTCAACATGAATCAACATGGTAATATAAGAATTACCTTGCATGCAGAGAGGCACCTCTCCTGACCAACACCCTTGCAACCTCCAATTGACCATTAGCAACAGCATCATGCAAAGGAGTTTCATGCTCAGGTCCTCCAGGTAGATTAACAATAGCTCCATTGTCCAACAGTAATTCAGCAATAGTAACATGTCCATGGTTACATGATTCATGCTGTAGATTATATACAAGAAGATATAGAGTTACCACTGACTAGCAAAGAATAGCAAACAACAGCTGAATAGACCTCTTGATTGGGCGTTTTTTCCCCATTTCACAACATGTGTCATTCCTTTGAGAATAATTTGCATTTAAACAAAGAATTGATACTTAAGGGAATGACCCATGGTCAACTGGACAAAAACACAACATTATGCCCAAGCTAAAGGAGTCTATTTACTAAAAAAACTGACAAGCTTAAACAATAACTCATGGAATCATACAGTATTTTTGACAGAGCAGTTTTTGGTGCCTATTTTCCACATTAATTTCTACTTACAAGAGGAGACCATCCAGCATTATCTCTAGCATTTGGATCTGCTCCTTTCTCTAGTAAGTATTTTGCATCCTCATAATAACCCTACAAGAGAATTGCATGTAACAATGATTAAAAAAATTTTTTTCTCCTTTACTTTGGCAAAGGACTAATGTCCAAACTGCCAGTACAATTCCAAACGTTTTTATACAGTGTTTACTAGTAACTACTAGTCATTTGGTTTGTTTCCAAAATACTGCTTCAGCAGTTTATCAGTTCTGTTCATGCATACTTTCATAAACAATGAAAAATATATATTTTTCAAGCATAAAACCATGCTTTGCAATTAGTACAGATACTATCAATAATTGACCTCAGGCCAAATACTTTCCCATACAATTATCCCACTACTAAATTATGCAAGGAGAATATACATGTAACAATGTACAAGTTAGTCAGAACAAAAAATACCTTTATTGCTGCAATATGAAGCAGTCCTTCACCACGCTTATTTCTTTTTGTCAGATGTGCTGGGGATAATTCCAATATAGACTTAACACTTGCAGGGCTTGTGTTGAGCTTTTTCCTGATCTTACTTTGTGGGGTTGATATATTTGCTTTTGCAGAGGGTGAAGTGGACACGTTTTTGTGAGTTAAGGCTAGTCTGCTCCTTTTTTTGTTAGATGAAGAGTCACCTTTAACATCGCTTTGTGACATAATGCTTTTCTCTGTTTCTGGTGTGCCATTTTCCACGATCGATACTTGCTTTTGTAAAGATAAATTGCTTTCTCTATTACCAATTCCCAATTCACTTTCAGACATTTTTCTCTTTTTTCCTTTTACCTGCAAGTCTCCAACATCTGATCTAATATAGGCGTTAGTTTTTGATTTAAGTATATTTTGGTGATTGACAAAAGAAGCACCCCTGTCTTTATCATATTTTGTACATGTCACGATGTCTGACTCCTTACCACATGTCTTTGTGGAGTATTTTGACTTGGTTCCTGGCTGATTAACATCCTGTTCAGAGCAGAATGAATCATTTGTACTAAACAGTTCTATTGAACTGTTTATATCCTCATTTTCATATTCTTGTGAACTGCAACTAGACTCCAAGTGTACATCATACTCTTCTCTTTCACAAACACTGCTGTTATTAGTATTGTTGTTTCCTTCCTCACTTCTGACGACAGGCTGCCAGTTATGTTTTAATAAAGTTTTATCACCATCAATGCTTGTTACAATATCATTATCTTTAGCTATTTTGTCAGTTTTTTCCAAGTTTCTAGAAGCTGTTCCAAGCATGACATTAACACCACAAGCTTCTGGAGGTAAAAATCAGTTCAGGATAAGTATTTGAGGCAAAATTATCAAAATATTATTCACATAATTTCAAGGTTATATATTTTTTCATGTCATAATATTTCCATTTATTCTGTTATCCTCCATCAACCATATTTTACCTTGCTTTGGTGGTGTTTCAGCAACATCATCATTATTTCCAACAGTAGTCCGTATCAATTTACACAGTGATAAAATGTCAGCTAACCGTCTATTAACCTTCAAGTCTTTTGACCAGGCAAAAGCTCCACATTCTGGGCATTTACTATCAATGCCCACAAGCTCTTCTACACAATTTCTGATGGATTAAGAGATGAGCATTTATCAGAACTAGAACTTAAAACAGATAACAGCCCCTTTGTTGCACATGTGGTTTTACAAAGTTGTGTGTATATTGGTGGTTTGAGAGCATTCTTAAAGTGCAAGTATCATAAAAAAAAACAACCTTTTGCCAGATGACATGGGGCCATGCTGGTGATATACATAGCAAGGGGAGTTCATGCAAAGTCTTTTGCTAATCACGCCAACATGGCCATGATGATGTAAAAGGATTTTAAATTTGGAGTGTGTGTCAGGGCAAGAAATAACCCCAGACTCATAACAATTGCATGAGCTGAAATCAAAAATGGCCAAGGGTTGAGTGTAACAGATAAGGTACAAATTTTAGCGGTATTTTCACTTAAAAAAATGGAAAAACAAACCATGTAAAACATTAAGCTGTCACATATAAAAGTGCAAATTACATTTTTAACAGACTTATATTACTGTAACAATACCTGCAGAAGTGATGGTCACAGGCTTCTAAAGTACATGGATCCTGAACCAAACGCTTACTACAAGAAAGACATTACAGAATAAAGCTTATGGCAATCATACGAAAGGATATTACATGTCATTCCAAACCAAACCATAAGTTTATCTTACCATATCGTACAAGTCAGAAGTCTTTCCAAGTTCGACAGAGCTAACTTCGTTTTGTTCCATTTAATCATGTTTATATGATATTTTGTCAAATATTCATAGTGAAACTAAGTTACTGGCAAACTGAATTAGATTTAACTTCACAGAAATAAGCGTAAAACACCATGAATCATACATAAAGATGGAAGACATATTGACTCTCCCGCCATCTTCTTCTTCCCGCCAGCAATTTGAACACTGCGCAAACGCGCAAACTCAAAATGGTTTCCTCATTACCAATCCACTTCCTTCCACAGGAAGTCCACAATCTTTGAAAAATCGGATGAGCACTCTCGAAGTACTCTTTTTGCTAAGCATAAAAAAAATTATATACTAATTTTTTTTGGTGTCGGATCTATTTAAGACTTAAGCAAAAAGAAAGACAGTCGATCGTAGTTACAGCACTTGGTACGAGCAGCGCACGCATACTATCCTAATTATATAATAATTTGTTATTAGCATTCTACCATTCATGGGTGTACCAAAACTTTATTTGAAACCTCATAATTCACATAACCTCCCCCATCATGAATACTTCCTTTAAATACTATTTCCTTTAAACTATGACTTATGGAATCAGTTTTGCATAGTTTGGATGATATAATTAATCTGCAATAGGACTATATGTCTGTCCAATTCAAATTATTGAATTCAAAAAATTCCGGACTGCCAAATTGGACTTGGCCTATCGGCCTCTTCCAGTTTTGTCAGTACTCAGAATTTTTTTCATGTAGTCATATTACCTATACAAAATAAACCCTCTTCTGACTGCAAAGAACAGTTTTAGCTATGATGGTGCAGTGCTATGGAATAGCCTTCCATGTGAGTTGCGGCAAGCAGGCACTCCAAGTCAATTTCAAATAGGCTGCAGCAACTTCTTCAATTGAATTTTATACACGTAGTATACACGGCACTCTTGGAAAGCAGGTACCCCCTTTATTATGTAATTATATTGTATTATTATTAGTCTTTAGTTAATTAACTTGTAGTTAGCTTAGTATACGTTGTAAATAGAATTAAGTAATTTTAGTATTATACTAATTGTAAATCCTGAAGAGTCTACCGTGTCTAAATAAAGCATCTATCTATCTATCTATCTATCTATAATGGAATGTCGGGTGATAATGTTCTTGGATTCGAAATGGCCCTCAAAATATCCCATAGGCCTTTGAAGCTTTGCTTCTTGGCCACATTTGCTTTTCCCCCACCAGAAGGGGATTTTTTTACTAACTACCCTGATAAAAAAGGAGGATTTTTTGAACCAAGGAATAAATAGAGTATGTACAAAAACCAATAGTCTACATTATAAGAACATTATAAGAAGAACTAAAATATGACCACTAACTTTATTGCATGTCTGTATTCTGTACAATCATATACAAACTCTATAAATTACATCAAAATTGATTCTTTTTTTTTTACAATAGGTGGTGGCTAAAACAAGGGCAGAAAAACACCAAAACAAAAAGAACATTTCCAGCAAAAATGAAATTAAAAATAAATCAGTTCCAGAAAATATTTATACTGCAATATATCTACCATCCAACCTCTTTCCTGTTAAGAAGAATTAACTGACCAGGAAATTAGAATAAAGTCATTGTTATTTTTTTATAACCATTTTAGACCATCCCTACTTTGTGGAAAATTCACATCACCCTGTAAGCTAAAAGCAGGGATATTATTTGGTTTTGAGCACAAAAACATTTTGTAAAGTTTAATTTGCAACAATTTATATCAAAAGTTTTTTAAAAACTTATAAACCAGTACTATATAGGGGTTCTGTTGCAATAAGTGTGACATTAAGCCATCATATTGCTCTGTGGCAGTGGTAGTGTAGGAGGTCGTGGTGGTCTTTCTGGGGTGTAAAGCTTTTCCATTATGTGTTCAAGCCCTTTAATTGCCTTAAAAAAAACAGAGCATATCAATTAGATTCCTAAAATCCATCAGAATGTTCCTAGCAACAGAACCAGTACATTCGATATTATAGGTATTTAGTAAAAATACACAGGTGATTATTGAAAATCTCGCGCGCTGATTGGTCAAGAAACTCACACTATCACATGATAATTACCTCCAGCTATAATCCAAAATGGCGGCCAGCCGCTATGTTGCTGTTACTGGAAAAAAATGTGTTTTAGCTTCTTTTTTTTGAAATGATCACCTGTGTGTTTATGCTAAAACAGTTATTTGCCTCAGCTCAGTGAATATCGGAGAATATTTACCTCGTTGCTCAAAGACTCGTGTCTCGGTAAATATATTGTTAAATATTATCTAAAATATGTTACCCATAGAAAAGGGTTTATGACAAGGGAGAAAACATCACAGTAAACAAATAGCCCACTTTTGAGATATTCTTCACTTGTCAGGCACAAAGGATTCAATGTGAGGCTTATTAGTGCATAATGCTCAGTCATTTGTGACAGGAGAAAAGAACTATTCTAATTTAGCACATTGCCTCATACTGAAACCTTCGTGCATGACAAGTGAAGCATATCTCGGAAGTAGGCTGTTAGTTCTATCCAAAATCAAAAGACATCAAGTCTGGATTACCTTTTTAGCATTCTTTTTATATCTTTCAACACCAAATGCTTCTATTGCTCTAGCAAATCCATAAACATCTGATGATACCCAAGACTGTTTTTCACAGGTTGTCCTACATAAAAAGAAAGAGTATTAAATTATGTCTTCCCCAAAACAGCCCAGGATTACTCACGCACCTACTTTACATCAGTTTTCTGCACAACCTTGGAAAGGCTAATTTGACCAGTTAAATGGCTTAGGAAAAACCTGCTTTTTGGACTTCCTGACTTTATAACATGATGAAAATCGAGTACATGGTAGATTCTTTAACTCCCAAGAAGAAGTTGTACATCAGTAAATAAAACTGACTCTACCAATAATGACATAATAATAAGATCGAATTTTTGTTCATCTTCACAACATAACGATCTCTCTTGTGTCTGTGCTCAAGATACGATCACGTTATTTTCAAACTTGCATGCACTCAACTATAAAATACAACTGAAAAATATATGTTTGTTCAAGTTAGAGGTATTTTTCCTTGGCTACAGCCAATAAGAGAGGTATTTTTTGCTTTGATTTCATGTTACATACCATTCTTTATTCTGTGGATTGACAGCATATACACACTTTTCTTCAACTACCATTAGGGTCTTGTAAGTGATATTTCTTGTATAAGTTGTCAAAGTTTTTGCGATAGGGTCGACAATGGATTCTTCTACGATGCATGCTATTCGAGAACTTACGAACTAAAGAGAATAAAAAAGTACAACATGAATATACAAACAATGTCATAATTATGACTCCAAAATGACATTACCAAACTAAGTAATTGCTTTTTAACAAAATGAATGAACAAACAAACGAACAAAAAACAACAAACAAACAAACAACAAACAAATGATTGAACAAATGAATGAACAAATGAACTTAATTTCATGAGGGCAGCACATGACAGTTATAATTTAAACAATCATACTGATAGCCCAGTGGCCCTCAAAACAAGTGACACTGAGAAAAATTAGCAAAAAATGAATGTATGACAAGCTTTCGCTTTCAACTTTGAATATCACATCAACCACCAGACGATAGGCTCTCCACACTTCATCATCATTAACCAATAATGGACGACATAAAAGAACCACCAAGAACGTAAAAAACCCTGCATGCTTTATTACTGGATTAATCATATCCTTTTTGTAATCACTACCAAATCCTGCAATATGATTGGTTCAAAGGAGGGCGATTAATTCCCAAATCGCATCCTTAGGAGCTCTTAATTGCATTATATATATTAAAAAAAATTTTCTTAACGATAAAATAAAACAAAAAAATATTTAAAAAAATTTTTTTAGTTCTTCTACTACATTATACTGATTATTCTGCACTCTTTATTGTGCCTTTTTCTTATGTATGATTACAAAAAGGATATGATTAAGTGGTAATTGAACTTCGTGTCGTGCAATTTTGGTCTGAAATCAAACTTGCAATTACAAATCACACTCCCGCTACGCGGTCGCGTGATTTTGTAATCGCGCGTTTGATTTCAGACCAAATTGCACTCCACTCAGTTCAATTACCATTAATAATCACAGAAATAGCTGTTTTATTCATTTCATTACATAGTCACTAATTTTATTTTGGTATTGAATTTATTTACACAAAAAGAAAATTGGTTGCAGGATCTAGCACCACTTCACACGAGAAGACGGTGTCAGCACTGTGCTCTGTTCACTAATAAAGCATGGTTTTCGACCAATCAGTGTGCTCATACTATCCAAACTATATATTAAAAGTGCACACAGCACACGCACATGTTTTCTATTTCTTCACTATAGTACATCAAATTGTTACAAGAATACAAATATAGCCTTACTCTTTCTCCCCATTTAGGTAATCTGTTTGTCTTTGTTAATAGTCTTTTGGTTTTTAATTTATCGTCTTCTACAGTTCTGTTAGGAAGAGGGAAAAAATATGTGTTACAGATTATCAATGGCATTCCTAGACGAATCTTACGATATAGGTGGGTGTGCTGGGGGAGTGCTTCTGTATGACAAGTACAGTATTCCCTTGGTATCGTCAAGTACTAAACTTTATGACTTAAAGTAGTTGCTGTAGTATAATAATAATAATAATAATAATAATAATAATAATAATAATAATAATAATAATAATAATAATAACTTATTAAAGTCTCAAATCTTCTAGCCGGGCACAAGTGCCCTACTAATCGGGGAGACAAAGTGGGAAAAATAGTGGGGAAAAATAGCTTATAATATTACGAGTATTCTTAGCTTAGATGATAGTTATTAGGCGTTTGCCTGGTTTTTAAATTCCTCAGAAAATAATGACGTAACAAACGATTTATCTAATTTCTCCTTGCATAGTAAGCTTATACTATGAATTTTATGAGCTCTAAAGTGAATCCAGAAGTGTACCAGAATAAACCAAGAAGTTAAAATAAGAAATAAGAAGTATACTTGAATGAAAAACGCTAAGAAAACAGGATTACCTTGATAGGACATCTTCGCTCAATACGTGTAAACTCCATGGGTTCGGGTATCGGTTCCAGTAAGCTGAACTAACCTGATCCCAAGCAAACCTGGAATAGAGAAAAATAGAAACATAAGTTAATAAACGAACCTTTATATATTGATGAAGAAAGAGGAAGGGTAAACTTACTTGAAGACAAAGTTAGTCGAGTAAAATTTCATGACAAACTCAACTATCTTTTCCCTCAACTTGTTTGACTTATCATGCGTTGAGTCACGCCAGTTGGAGCCTGCGATACAAAAGCGGTGTTTGATTTAGTAGAGAAGGATTGGGGAGAGGGAAAGGAAAGGAAAAATACATATTTTTCAATTTTATCTTTTCATTTAAAAAATACTCGATTGTCGCACCTATTCTTTTCTTGTTGAATTGGCTTTACAATATATCCTTAATGATGTTTTCGAAAGACGGACATGCACAGAAATAGATTTAAAATGTTTCTTAAAAACTTCAAAGGAACGGGATTTCAAGATAATTCTTGTGCATACCAGATTTTAAAGATCGCACTACAGCCTACGACATCCTATAAACCATGATAATCCTAATTGCCACTGCAGTCAGTCAAGTTGTTTTGTCCGCGTGAATCACAACCATGTCCGACCCCTCTACACAATATTGCGGCAAGAGACGGCCAAGAGATCTTTTTAGTCCCTGGTGTGGCCAATTTGTCGCGCAAAAAAACGCTCCACATAAAATATGACCTTCTCTTGCGCATGCATTCCTGGTTAACTGTGATTAAACTTTCATTAACCCATTATTCCTGTTTCTGCTGCAGTATCTTATACCTCTTCTTATCATGACTGGATTTTTCGTTGTAATCTGGACAGAACTCCGAGGCTACAGGTATTACTTGTGCGCAGCCGTTTAACTACACCACTAAGAACCATTATGCTATTAGAGTACAAACACTATAAGTGTGCAACACTTTGCATAATTTAGTAGTAAATAGTGCTAATTAAACAATAGAAAACAATAGGATTAGCATAATTTAGCAGTATTTAGTGGTATTTACGTTACACACTTGTAGTGTTTGTACTCTACCTTACATATTTTGAAATAACTGTGTATTAAGGCATTCGGACCATTTAAAGTGGTCATCCGAGCCACTTGAAAGTCTAACCATTTGCAGATGTGATTACAAAGGCAGCATTTTCTCCCCACTTATTTTAAAGCCCTGAGTGTTGGTCCGGCCGGGACTCGAACCACGACCTCCCGCACGAAAGTCCGATGCTCAACCGGTTGGGCAACGAAATTGATCCGGTATGTCCCCCAAAAATCTTTTGAGCGCAACTCTGTACAATCGTGTCTAAAAGTTCCACTGTTAAGTGTGTAAAACGAAGGTACCTCTGCACACCTTTATGCTTTGCTTCTAACCTTAACCAATGTAATATCGAAGATGTTAGCAAATCAGGCTTTCTGTGTGGCCTCCAACACCGAGCCTTGCTTACAAGTTGTACTTCGTTCGTTTGCTGGACTGTGAAGCGCTTGCACAATAACTACACATACAGTCCTTTGACTAAACGTTGTCGTTGATCGGATCATCCCTACGCGCCTAGACCGAAAAGAATAACGGGTAAATTACCCAAAACTTGCGTCATCCAAATTGCTCGCCAGTTTAAATCTTCGACGTATGCTCGAGGCATGGTTTTAGCAAATTAAATGGGATCGAAAAAAGCGAGCTCAAGACGTGTTAGATAACATATGCGGCAGCTAGTAACTGTGAATTAATTATCCCCATGATCCTTCTGTCTAGGCGCGTAAAGATGAAGCCGATCAAACGACGTTTAGTCAAAGGACTGTAAATAACACGAGTGTATTTATTTTCCCTTCCTTTAAGAAATATTTTGTGGTATTCATTGTATACCTGCCATCATTACCATCATAGCGAAATTTAAAGATATATATTCTCACATTTTAGAGTTTACTACCAAATATGAAATAAAAATAGCGAGATACAAGAGAGAACATAGATGTTTCTCCACAACTGCTACCGTCAGACAAGATAATAGCCAAAATAAGGTCAAAACAATTTAAAGCCTCATTATCCACGCTTTTTTAAATTACTTTAATTGGCAGGGGGAAGATAGGAGAGGGACACGGAAAGGAGCGAAAAAGAAAGGAAGAGGAMAAGGGTGGGGAAGCTTAAGAAAAACTCCCTTTCCCTCTTCCCTTCTTTAAGCTAGTCTTCGAGGTACCCGGGGTTTAAAATACCCGGGAAATAAAATACGCAGATCGTCAACCACAGGAGCAATATGTTTGATCTCCGGTTTTAAGAAAATCGACGATGGAGTTGCGGTAGTGCATTCGCCTCAAACGAGACTATAGCTGCTGGTGCGTGGTGCACACCGTGTTGACGGCTGAAATCCCTTCACCCACCATGCAGTTATACATATTATATATATATATATATATATCAATTCAGTTACAGACAAGGCTTTAGAATTTATATTTACTTTATTGTCTGTTTATGGCAATTACGAAAATGAACAAGATAACCAATTTACATGATATTTTCTAATCAAATCTAATGTAACTAAACTTAAAAACTGATGAAGCAAAGTACAACTATACGGTTAATTGTTTGACACTCGTGTTATCATTATTTCCTTTGGACTCTCATATTAAAAAACTAGATATATTTATTATTTTTACAGCAAAAAATTACTTAGTTTGGAGATCGATTACGCTTTGGATACAAGCAATCGTACAGTAAAAAATGGCGGTAAAATAAAAGACTACAGTAGTTTGTGCTCTTCGGTCAAAACTAAAACTATAGATCCCTTGTCGGAATGCAGCTCAATTTGGAGGGCAAAACAACAGGTTTCCAATTATCAGGAGATTGAAATTCTTTTGTTTCGTCCTCGAAATTGAGCTCCTTTGACGTCACATTCAAGAGGTCTATTTATAGATATGACTAGTGTTTAAATGTGACGTCATTGTTGTTGTCGTTCCTGACGCCAATTTCATTATTCCATAGCAACTCACGCAGTTTTTCCTGTACGGTCAATAGATACAAGGTTCGATACAAGTAAACTAACACCTAAATGAAGTTTAACGTTTGCTGCACATTTAAATCTTAACCTTTTCACACAAGATGCAAGCTTTTCATCGAATTTTTTAAAGCACTGTCGAGAAGCACGACTTTTGAAGGATGTTACTGAGAACTTAGATAAAAGTGACCTTAAACGTGACCTGATGGTAGGTTGCCAAATTTGAATRGTTTAAAAAAAAATCAGAATGAAAAGCGATCGAAATAAAAGTCAGAGTGCATGTGTATATGTAAAGATAGAAAGCCTTATGTGGATTTGCGTTCAATAAACAACTGCCGTGCGCATTCAGTCAAATGTGCACGAAAGTTACTCGTATACATACAGTTAAATCATTCCAGGATAGTTACGTGTCCTTAATACCCTTACTTGTCGTGGGATTTAATCCAGCTTTAATCCAGCCTTTTTTGTTTCATTTTGTCATGTATTAAATGCTGTACATGCCACTTAAAGCATCTCGCTCCCTTGATCATCATCATCTTCATACTCATCGTGAAGGCTTCTGTTCGACAACGAACGTCTTTCATAGTCTGGACGAGAAGGGATGTCTTCTCGGCTTTTGGGGCGGTACGGCGGCTCATCACGAGACAAATATTCACGACTGGGTGGACGGTAAGGGTCACGTGAGATGTTCTCTCTGCTGCTGCGGTAGGGTGGTTCATCACGCGGAAGATAATCCGTACTTCCACGATATGGTGGCAACTGATCTCTACTGCCTCGATAAGGTTCCTTTCGCATTGAATCGTAGGGCAAGTCGTCCCTACTTCCACGATAAGGCTCCTTTCTTGGTGGCTCGTAGGGAAGATGTTCCCTACTTCCCGATTGACTGCCATACCGAGGCAACTCCTGGCGGCTACTAGTTCGTGGTGGCCCAAACTCTCTACTGCCATGGTAGGACTCGCGACTTCCCATTTTTGCTCCCAAGTCGGTACTTCCGCGGTGGGACCCAGAGTGTCTACTAGGAGGACCATGGTAAGACGCCCCACCAATGGATCCTTCTTCATGATAGTGTGGTGGCCGTTCCATGGCGCTTGCTCGAGTGGCCGGAATGTCTGAATAGGGAACTCTTGCTTCTCCAGGGGGAGGCAGCTCGATCGAAAAAGAAGCCGACCTGCCATCAACTGCGTCTCTTTTATCGTTGAAGAAGCATCGACAACGGAGGATGTGCCACATGTCCTTTCTGCGTGTCAACAATTGAAGGATTTCAATAAATTACAAATAGCTAAGTCAATGATTCGACAATCTAGGGAGACGCATTGGTAGTATCGGGTTTGACTCCTGGGCCCGGTTGTACGAAGGGTGAATAGCCCTATCCAACGGATAAATCCTTATCCAGTGGATAAGTCGATGCTGTTATCCAATACATTTATCCACTGGATAAGATTTATCCGTCGGATAGCGCTATCCACCCTTCGTACTGGCCGAGCTATGACTATATGTATGGACTCTTGTCTTTCACCCATAAAAATTCTCAACGACTTACAAAAGCTAAGATCCCAGACGAGTGTGACTGTACTGGTATCCAATCGGTGAGTTAGTCGTTCCCTGACTTAGATCATCCCAGAGGATGTTTCAAGTTTTCCCCCCAATAATTTCATTAAGATCCTTTTCTCTGTACTCACCTGAATTCCTGATTGAAGTAGAAAAACAGCAAAGGATTGGTAACAGTGATGAGAAGAGTAAGGAAGTAAAGCAGTTTCATAATGGCAAAGAAATATGGCTTCATGTTCCCAGCAGCAAAATCCAGAACAAACCTAAAAAAATCAACACATGCCTAAAGTTATAGATCTAATATGTTCAGAGTACGAAAAGCCATCATGGTTATAAACATTACAAAGAACTCTCAACGAATTAGTTGAAAGTTGATAGTTACTCTAGTAAACACCCTTTTTTTCTTAGAAAATTGAAGAATACATTTATTGATTGATTGATTGGTTGTTGAACTGAAGTTCAAATTCATAAAGCCAAATTTATAACAGGGCTCAAAATGGGAAAAAAATGTAGCCTGCACTAGTAGATAAAGGAGATCATTCCAGTACATTTTGCCTGCCATTTTATTTTCATTTGGCAGTGCATCGTCATTTTTGCCTGCAAAACCTGAAATTTGGCCTGTCATTTGGCCATTGGTACGCCCCTATTTCGAGCCCTGTATAAAGTTTCGCGGAAAGATGGCAAAACCTTTTACTTATGCCGGCAACTGATATTTGCATGACGAGACATATATGTTTTACGAGGAGTTGAAACATAACTTATAACCCGTAGTGAGACTTGCCTCGGCAATCTCGGTGCACGTTACAGCTACAATTCCCACGTCTATAAAAAACACTGCCTTTCGATTAAGGAGAAATGGGTGGGCCGTGTAGGGACAAGTGGTCTTGCCTTAGAGTGACAAACTCAGTAAAGTACACCTTAACATTTGACTAACCTGTTGATATGATGAGGAAGAATCAGAACAGCAAATATCAAAATGTAAACTATCAACATATTGTTAACTCGACGATGGCGAGCCTTGCGTTCAATTGTTGCCCTTTCTCTAGCTGCAGAACTACGACAAACAAATTCAAGCGTTAGCAAATACTTGAATCAAAACTAGGGGAATCAAGGGTGGTGTAGCGGTATCGTACTCGCCTCTCACCTATGAGTGTCGAGTTCGATTCTTGGTCTCGGCATTACGTGAATAGACGTTGTTAGTTCTCTTCCTTGATTTAAGCCGGTTTTACCCAGGTCCTCCGGTTTRATTTTCTTCCCTTTGCAAAAGCTAATACGCTAAATACTAGTTGGCCACTTTAGAAACAAGCAAAATACTTGGGCGAGTTTTGAATTTTAATCTAATTAGCAAGAGTTTTGTCATCTCATAAAGCTCGTTTGCTGGCCAATTCAATCTGTGAGTTAGCCATGTCCTGACATTGATAAGCCTAGTTTCAGTGTATCGATAACGTTTGAAATTAGCGAATCAGCCGCGAATCCATAACCTACCTGTTAAGCTCTTTTCTGGCCACAACGTACATGGTTAGCAAGACCATCAAGGGAACGATGTACTGTACCACAAACAGCACCCCACTGTAGGCTCTTCGATCATCAAGAAGTGGCCACATCTCAATGCAAGACAAGCTCGCTGCATCGTAGTTCAGAAAGATAATGTATGGCAGGGTGGTTAACATACTTGCAATCCAGATAGAAAAGATGATAAACATCACAAAGATATCATTCATTTGGCCGAAAAGCTGCTGTTTGACACCGTAAGTACGGTGAAAGCTTAGCAATACATAGGTGAGGACGATGGCTTCGAAAGCTGTGTTCCGTAGAGGCCACAGGATCTTACAAGCTGCACCTCCATAGGGGAAATCTCTCGGATCCCACCAAGCGGAGTCAAAAGGCACGACAAAACAGAGGAAGAGGACGTCTGCACATGCTAAGTTTTGAATGAGACGGATGAAACTCCTCGATGTTCTCTGGTGTCTGATATGCTTCCGTGTTACGGCCAAGAACATCAAGATATTGAGAAAACTCCCAGCGATGAATATGATCGCGAACACCACAATCTTGAATATACGAATCCCGGTTATGGCATCGTATTCTTCTTCCGACTCCGGGTTTTCCATGATTGAACCTGCACAACGAGTTCAAAAATATTCATCAAAAAAAGGAAACTGAAAAATAGGCCTTTTGCAACAAACAGTCACGTGCTGATAAATGACTTCGATAACGAATCAATTCAACTCAAGGTCCCTTGGGAAAGGCTGTGCTGGATGGCAAACTTAACTGCTCCGTATCTTGGAATCGAAAGTATTTTATAAGGGAAAAAAGTATTTTTGAAAAGGTTTTGGAAACGACAATAATACAGCAATATATATATATATATAATAAATAAATAAATAAAAAAAAATAATAATAAATAAATAAATGAAAGGAACTCCAATATATTTTTACTGTACTGTAAACCTCGAACTAAAATGTTCAATATAACACACTAAACTGGAACAAAAAGTGCATTACCGTACAAAAATTACATTCGTATTTACTGCACTGTATTGTACAATTTCATTTTGAGTTGAGTTCTGGAAAATAACAATGCGATGGTATTGCAAGCTTTGTCTATTTTATTATGCTGTAATAGGAAACTCTACTGCAATGATCAGTGTGTGATCCGTTGATACGCAAAAAACTAACAAATATATAATTCGTGTCAAGCTCATTATATCAATGAACAAATACAGTAAAGACGTCTTCAAATTTCAAGTGTCCTTAATGCGGGGTCGATTAAGGTATGGAAACTGTCATTCAGGTCCTAGAAATGTGTCCTTTGTACTTATTAACGGGTGTCCTTATAAAGTGGGTTAATTTAACAGAAAATGTATGGAGCTTTCGTTGGGACTGTGAAACGTGTCCTTATTAACGAAGTGTCCTTATTAAGTGGGTGTCCTTAGAGCGGGGTTCCAATGTATACTAAGACATGCTTTTATCTCCAAGAAGTGGATCCTGGATGGGGTCGCGTGCGTGCTGGAGGCGGTTCTCAAGCCGTAAAGTGGCTTATATATATTCACACATATTTATAGTATTTAACTCATATATCTATTTGTATTTATCTATTCTATTTATCAGTATTTCTATTTATTTGTACTTGTATTTTATGCCAGGGCTCCCATTGATAGCAGACCTTTTTATTAGTTCTGAAGGGACTACCTTGGCTTTATTTAAGCCCTTAACATGTAATAATTTGTTTATTACACATTTAGGGTCGATACAATAACATAGCTTATGATTTCAAACACAAGGGTGGTGACGTGGAATGTGTGTGAACATTGCCTTGTACTGGCATTGAAAAAAACATTAATGGTCGCAAATTTAAACAAGAATATACAGCAAAAATTCTTCGTAAAAAGAATGTAAGCTTACAATACAAGATGTACCGAGTTGTCAATGGTATATTTGGAATGTTCCAATCTGTAGATCATGTTTACTCATAAAACACAGGGAACCCACTCAATGGCATTCGCCAAGAATGACGGTCTGAGCTTCTTAAAGGTCTAGCATTAAGGAAGAGCGGAAAAGGGCTAGGACCTCGAGGTCCAAGACTAAGGAAGTAACTGTCAAGTTAAGTGACAAATGCCGAGTCTGTGGTGCCACTGGATGTTACGTCTTCAGGTCACAAACATAGCAGACAAAAATTGAACATCATTAACATTTAATGCATTTTAGCAAAACTAAAAGTTTCTTTAAAAAAAACCTGTAAACATGCATTTCCAAATCTATATCTGGTTTTTCTGTGGATGTATCAATTTGGAAAACCATTGTGTGACCTTTAGTCAGTCACTTCCTGCCTCTTATCAGGGGTTTATCAAAAATATCACATCTAATTCTTTAAGTGTATTATAGGTGGCAATTTATAGACTAATGAAATATAAGAGATAAATACTAAGACACTAAGCAGTACACATCTATCTCTTTTCTTAGACAATCTTAGACATCCAAAACAAATCAATAGGCTCCCACATCATACCATATGCTTTCCAGCCTGCTTTGCTGTCAACATACAAGGTTTAATTTAGTGAAAGTTCATGACCTTTGACAAGCCTTTCAAGTCATCAAGGGAGTTTTTCGTTATCTTAACCAGCTGATGACATTCTCAGAATATTTCGAATACCTTCTAATGATGTGTACTGTCATGTAAAAATTTCAACTCAAGGATGAAACTTCATAATTGTAACAATACTCTAAGTTACAATCCTTTATAGATTAATGATCTTAGGGACAATATCTTACTCCAAATAATTAGGCTTTATTTTAGTTCTGATAATTCTGACATTTTAAAATTGGGTTTATCTTAGGAAAGCAGCCAGCTAGTAGCAGAGAAGAGAAGAATGGATGAAGAATGGGATAAATGGGAAAAAAAGAGGGAGAAATAATGGAAGAAAAATCAACAGCGAGAAGGGAGAACCAGGAAAGAGGAAAAGGTAGGTGGAAGAAATGGCAGAATCAACTACAGAGGAGGGACAAAAATGGCATTAAAAAAAAGGGAGTTAAAATATTTAAAAGCTTGTATCTCTGCCCTAGTCAAGAGGCAAATAAGGATGAACAGTCTTTCTGTCAAGGTATTGAATGAAATAAATCAGCTAATCAATGATTGTGAAAATATTAGAATTATACACAAAATAATCATAGTTATATTAATTTATCTTTTAACTGTAATTTGTACACTGTACTTTGTGCACTATTTTACGATTTATGCAATTATTGATTGTGTATCTAGGGAAGTAAACTATAATTCTAATTCTTAATCATTTTGTCCTTGTATTATAAGATCATAATCAATAAAGTATTAAAGATAATGCTTATTATTTGCCAAGCAAATCCAAGCTCCAGGCTAGCTAGGTGGGATTCGAAAGATAAAGCTGTAATTGATAYTTGACTTTTAACCCAAAAATACATAGAAACCAATTTTTCTTGTTTACATTTATGATAGCAGAGAGGTATAATCTGCAGTACTGCAGATACATGAATGAGCATGTTGTTAGAAGTCAGTCATTTAAATAGCATTATAAAGAGAAATTTATTAAGACATATATATGGCTAATAGCTGTTACAGATTTAGAATACTTCATAAGTCATTCTCATTAACTCCCTTGTTAACTTGTAAAGATGGCAGTGAAATTTTGATTTATAGTGAATATATTTATATGCAATCATATGTTTAAGATGTATTAGGTACATGTTCAACCAAGAAATTGAATACTACACCATAAAATAAATTTCTACAAGCCACTACTTGTACTAGCTAGCTAGCTGACATTGTTTTGAGCATGACCCTTGGAACAAGGATGGATTACACATGGACATGCCTCCTCATAGGAGATAATYATAGAATCTAGCTTACATCCCTGAAGAATTGGAGATCAATTCAGCAGCTGGGCCTTGAGCCCAAATAAATAAATTAAATGTTCATCAATATGCTATCCCACCCATGTCAATTCATATATTCACTTTAGAGAAAAGAAATCTTGAGGGATTTAGAAGCTAGATAAGACAAATGTTTTCCTTCATAATCTTTGGTAATGAGCTAAGGCTATGAACAAAGTTAGAGTGAATAAAAAAATGTCTGAAGTCCTTAATCTCTACATGGTAATAAAATCAAACAAAGCAAACTTAGTTACTGTAGAGCTAATGAATATAAATTTTCAAAAACAATTTTCAAGTCACTGAATTAAAAGCACAAACTGCCCAAAGTGTGAATCAACATTTATTTATAAGAGATTTTAAATAATACCCTGATTGTACAGTATATGAGTAGATATAGGGTACAACAGTTCAATGGCTTACTGTATGTAAATGGATAAATAACATATAGCATGTGCTAACAAACCCTTCATTTTCATTCTAAGCTGCATGTCTAGCATTGATTAAATAATTGGCACATTACTATGTGCACCTTGTAAAGTGCTCCATCTAAATATATTAATCAAGGGGTTTTTTGAACATAAACTTATATCATTAGCTCTAAAATTAGTATGTAAAATATGCAATATATAATAAGAACTTCATATTATTGTTGACTTATAGAAATTTCTCTTTATAGGATCAATAAGTTTATAAATGCTTCAACTAACACTTTAATGTAGAATTTTTGTTTGCTCATATAATGATGAGCAAAACGGAAACTAAAATGTATACAAACTTATGATCCAGGCTTGATACTAAAATTGTTATGACTTCACCATTTTGGACACTTATGGGCAACGAAAAACATTTTAAAAGATTAGCATTGTATCCAGGAAGTTGATGGGAAAATACATACAGGGACACTCTTGGTGGTTTTCAACTGTCATTTTYTTTGGAAATACAGAGAATACGTGGCTTAAGATATTGTGCAGTGTTTACCACAAAGTACAGTATTCAAGTAGTAATTTTTGTATCAGTAGTCTTCGGAATACTTAAATCAGAAATGAATGATGTAATGGTGTATGGGTTGAAAAAATGCCAGAGTAATCAAATTAGAGCATAATGTTAAGAATAAATGTTTAAAAACGTTATTTTATTTTAACAAGTGCAAACCATGCAAATGCTGGACTGTGACTTATGAAAAAAATTAAGGACTTTCTAGGATTTTGTTTCTTATGTAAAATATTAGGTATAAATTTATTGATATTGTAAATGACTAACTCGAATAAAAAGTGATCTGATCAATGGATTGTAGACTTGCTACTTTAACCTATAAACTGTTTCCAGAGACATGGAAATAATAAATGTAACATCCTAAGCAAGAAAGACGATAGCATACAGAAAGATAAGTACTCTGATTAGATACATAATAGGCAGTCATGTTTACTCGCCCTTTGCAAGTCCAGTGGAGGGCAAAGAATTACCACCTACGTATAAACTTTGTAGAATTGCAGTAAGGCCATACTAGTAAATTGTTTTATAATTTTTTCTATAAACAGCTTTTTCAATTGCCAAAGGAATCCTTGAACAAAATCAGGCAAAAAGAGCATAGGTTAGATAATTGTTTTCGAGTTTTGCATATTTGTGAATTATATTTCACAGTATATTCGATTCATTAGTCTTCAAGTCCTTTGGACTACCGTTTATGTACAGGATTAACCTCCCACAACAATTTGTAAAACATAACCGTGAAAGCATAGTAGTGAGAGTTAATGGGAGTTAATCTACCAAAACACTAGCATTTCATTTTGTATAAAATAAATCAATATGGAATTCGTGACAATCCATTTTGCTATTTCGAGGCAGTCAAGCGTTCTAGAAACAAACTAAAAGGAACTTTGTGAAAACCGTACTTTTAGGTTGGACCAGCTTGAGTTTTCTCGTTGGGAATTCAAACTTCAGCTGCCATAGTGAACATAAGCTCCTTTTATTGGGCCTACTAAAGCCTAAATGTGTCTGAATTATATTTTTATGAAGTGCTCGCTGCACCGTGAAACAACAAAAAATTTGCATCTTTGAATAATCGCATAGCTGAGTTTAAAATCCTTATCGCAGTAAATGCGGGTTGTAACGTACCGTTAACATAGAAATTTTTACTCCCCAACCGAGGTAAAATAACAGTAGTTTTGTACAAAGGACAGGGTCAAGCAAACAAAACAATCCTAATGTAGCATAAATCGTTGGCGTATACTATTAAAAAATGTCTTGGTTTCTAATCACTTAGAACATTTGAGATTAACACTGCACAGCAAAAAGCAGCACCCAGCAGCGAACATTTTGTTTAAAAATCAGGAATTAATCCAATCCTAAAAGCAATATTTTTCCTATCGGTCCTTTTCRATAGACAGTTGAGGCATATTTACTACTAAAATGAGCATTTTGTCTTGAATGGAATTTCCCGCTTGTTTGAGAACTCCATAACGAGAGGTATTTATGTTTGGAATAAACCGCAGAAAGGCTCCAAACGAGTGCTATATCTATCGAGAAAGCTCTTAAATTTTAGACTCACCGTACTATTGAAGGTTGCTGTAGAGTTCAGTCCAGTATTTGATGSAAATATGTCGTCCAAACTAACAAAAGACGCTAGTAAAGAACGGACTCATTCGGTTGGAAAAACGTTGCTATTCTCAATGCATGCCGAGAATGTCTTTAGCATATCAGATTCGAGGCTTTTGATTGGTTGATCAGACAGAGACGCGCACTTGTCCATGTCATCTTGGAAAACAATAACATTCTTTGTCAAGGAGTCATCGGATTTCAGTCGATAACTCGTCGGGATTATATCATTTCTTTCTTTATCATAACTAGAAAAAAATAATTAGTTCCTCATTTTTAGCCGAAAAATCGTCGGTTAGGTGCTTGTGAGTTCATTGGTGAGTCTATAGGCGAGAAAGCTAAATAGCGCTAGAAAGCAGAAATCGAAAATCCTACCGGTCCCCTCTTACCAACTGAAAAGTGATTTTTAATATTCCGGCTGAGCATCAGTTGAAGTATATTTTATTTAACATAACAAATAATTGAGTGTTATAGGGCTGTATTTTTAGCTAAGAATAATACTATGAAACTCCTTATTAAGGCCACGCCCACGCGTACGTATCCGGATATTTTTGAATCCGCACTTTCATGCCCGGTGATTTTTAGGGTACGCTGTGAATACGGCCTCGTGTGCTCGGGACGCCAAACCGAAACGAAAAAGCTGTGATTCAAAAATATCCGGATATGTGTGGACGAAGCCTAAAGGTACAGACACACGGTGCGATGTTGTATCGACGTTGCATGCGATACATGATCACAACATCCTAAAAGACAGCCTTTTTCATGCAACTTTGCAGGCGTTGTCGCATCGTGTGTCCGCAATTTAAGGAAAAGTCTGGCGGCACAAACTACAATTAAATTGAAAAGATACCGTGTTGAAGCCCGGCTCCTACGCAGACTTTCTTAGTGTCTGTCACGCAACGTTTCTCTCCCCATGTTTCATTCGTTGGGAGGGAAACGTTGCGCGACAGACACTAAGAACGTCTGCGCAGAAGGCTATAGCTGACCTAATGGCAAAAAACTTTTTTTAACAACGCATTTCTGAAGAAATGGTTTGAAGTCATAGTTACGACTTCTCACTTGAAGATTGTCGTTGACAAAGCCAACAGGGAAAGTTCAAAACTGATTATCAATATCAGTTATGCAAGCTAACATTTTTGATAGTTGATTCGTACCAAGTCTACAGATTTTTATTGAACATTTCGGCAAAACTTCCCATCATCCTCGCGTCAAATCTTGTCACATATATAAATATCGTTAATAAAATGCAACTGCATATTAATAGTATTAAAAAATTCCAATCGACAGAATAATATTGAGAATTTTGTGGTTGCAAAGCCCGTTACTTTAGCAAAGCATAAATTTAATTCGAATACGAAAATTTTCTCTAGCTTATATAAAGGATTTTGAATTGCCTAAACGCATGCGCGCTCACGAGACTTTTGATATCACGTGCTGAAATGTCACGTGGCTGTATAAATTTGATAAAATTATTTCCTAATTTATTTTCGTTATCGTATCGTTATTTTCTTATCTTGGGGTGGGCAATTTGAATACAGAGGACAGCAAATCTATTATTACATGTAAATAGTTCATCAGCCATGACTGCTGTGCTGCCATCAAAAGCGGCGGCTGTGCTGAAGTCTTGCTTTTCTCGACTTTGCCATGATTGACAGTTTTCCGAAGACATGCTGCCATCACTGTTGGAACCATGCCAAAAGTACTTGCTGCTCCTATAACAATAATAATAATAGTAATAAATTAGGAATAATACATTAGTATCATTTAAAGGGAGAAAGAAAGAAAGAAAGAGCATGTGAATGAATTCGAAACGAGAATGGCAGCCGCTCACACAGACCATGTATGTCAATGGTCGCTGTATAGCAGATTCAATTGTTAAAATCCTGAATGACAAACCTTTTTATTAAGCTCGTACTTACCATCGATTGTCTTCCAGAATGTTTCGTCCGTCAAATGAATAAATAGGTATTTTATTGTTAAAGGCAAAATTCTTGGAGAACAGTTTTCTCCATGACGGGAACAGCTGCTCTCCCTGCAAAACAACGAGTAAGAAACTTCATGTCAAGTATAGTATTTTATACAGTACACCCAAACTCTTGGTTAGTGCATGTAGTTTTTTGAGTACCGATCGGCAGTCAAACATACTTTTGTTTGCAAAGTCATCATAGCGGGGAGAAGTGGTGTAGTAAGAGTCGCAAAGTGGTAGGGAAGGCGCGAGCACACTTTTCTTCAGCAGTCCCAGTATCTAGTGTCTAATTCGCTACGATATTTTCCCTTTATAGACTATAAATTTACGCCTAACGATTCTTGGTTGCCTTGACAAAATAAACTACATTGTGCAAGCGCCAGATCATAACTAGGCTGAAAATCTATTGAAAAACAATCAACTTTACCGATTACCTTTAGATTAGAAACTGGTAAATGTCTTGCTTCCTTCGGTACCACAGAAGAGACATACTGCAGTTTATTGGACATAAAAGCCCTGTACGAGCCGCCTATTCTAGATTCTCGAGATTGTCTCCAGCACTGATAATCGATTCCTCCAATACTACCCATCTGACCAGTCATGGGGTAGTTGAGGGCTACAAGGCGCAACTAGGAAAGGAAAATAAAACATCAAGCGAGTTGAAGTGGTTGCACGATTTTTGTACCGAAAATTAGCGCATCTTTAAACTGTCTTTGTACTCTGCTCGCGCGGAAAGAATTGCAGTATGTATCATACCTCTCAGAAACAGCAGAAATAGAACAGTTTTCGTATGACTGTGAAAAGCTTACGACATAAGCACGGTCGTGATACGCCAAGGCATACGCCAGCCCAATCACATTGCACGAGAACTTACTTTCCATCCAATCAAATACCCGAAACACAGCATGAACACGGCGTGCTGAAGGCCACGCCAATGTCACGACCAATCACATTGCGCGAGAATAAAAATCAGCCAATTAAAATCCTAAAAAATCACGGTAACGGCACGGCACGCTTACGGCACCGACTTTTTCACAGTCATACGAAAGCTGCTCTATAGTAGCGAAGAGTTGAAAGCACTCGCCTCATGCCAATACAACCCAGGGTGAATTCCAGAAATCGGTGTCGTATGTAAGTATCTAGAGTTACTTGTTGAATGCCAATTCCCATTATATGATTTACTTCTATGCATCACACAGCTGCTGCTATGCTTTTATCATAGACGGTCTCCATAATCAAAATGTCTGTGACTGCATGACTTTATAGAGAAAGATGCCCAGGTTGTGTTCTGCGGGATATGTAGTTAGTTGGAATAGAGTACTTACGTAGTGTCCTGTAAGCTTGATTCCTGGTCGTGGTAGAATAGGTTTTACTGCGGGCGCCTGTGAAGGAGAAAAAGATGCGAGGTGTATTATAAGACTTCAATAAAGTGTGTGAGTAGAAAAAGCACAGTACTGCTCGCACTTATACTAACAGCTTGTACTGTACAATACAGGTGTTGAACCATCACGTCCCCACGCCCATAATACAGCTTGGGCTGCCTGTGGTTAGATGGTATAACAATAAAATCCCTTTGCTCTTGGGATTTGAATTCTTTCTTATGTAAATCGAATGTTTCAGTTCTTCCTGCCATCCAAACATGGCTGCCGTCACGTAATACTCACGGCAAAACCTCTTTACAGGGCAGTAGCGCCCACAGGGGCCGTGGACGGGTTCCAAGGATGTTGGGCGTGTCATTTCTATTTTCAGACGTTCAGGTTCAGACGCATATTCGTGTCAATCACATCACGTTGAGGGACATGCATATCTTTGAAAACCATGCCCCGTGAACCGTGTTGTTTGAATAAGGATAACTAGGGATAACTAAGTCAGTATTTCTATACCTGAGTGATTGTGGTTTCATCTGTAGGATTTTCTCCTGTGTTCGCTAACGGACCAACCTAATTAGACATTTTAAAATTACTTAGTAAATGGCTTAAGGTGAAGAAAAGAAGGGATTGGCATTAGAAATCCAGCCAGGTTAGATGAGCCCAGCTATAGCTAGGACTTGAGAGTGAAGAAGGGTGGAAGATCGGGTAAACCCATTTAAATGCCAGGGCCACCGTACTGTTTCAGCACGAGAAAATGAACAGAGATCGGGTAAACTCATAAGCCATTTAAATGCCAAGGCCACCGTACTGTTTCAGCACGAGRAAATGAACAAAGAGAAGAAACCTCTGGTATTCATGTTTGTATCCATCACAGGCACCGTTTGATGCTATATTTTTAGAATCATATTTTGCCATCGCTCTACGCTGTTTGTTCATGTTTTTGATTCCACAAATAGTACTGATCAAAGATTCTAAAAATAGCACTAATCAAAGAGTGCTCATGATGGGACCCGGGGATTCATTCTTTTAATTCATTTTCTCTTGGTTTCAGCCAATACAGATGCCGAATGAGAACTAAGGTCTAAAGATTGTGCAATTCTGGTTTACAATCGATTGATGGGTTGCAAGCATTCCCAAGAGAGTTAAAAGAAAAAAACATGGCGGCCATTGTGGTACCGTTAACAGTGGATGCTAATGAGAAATCTTTTGTTAAATGGTAGCAACATGGCCGCGATGACGTAACGTGCAAACGAAGAATACGTATAACTTACAATAACGAGCCTCCATCCTGTACTTGTTTTGACGTAGAGGCGCTGCACGGAAAGAACAAATCCCAGGGTACCATTGGGAGGTTTGGGTGAACTTTGAATCATACTCTCAATACGATCAAAGGTTACGACCTGTGTAAATTAAATCCGAAAAAGTACAATGTTATAATAAAATATACAAGAAATCACACTCATTTCCCAATGGAATTTGTGGCAATTCTTTTGAACTTCCATGTTAGACTGGTATGGCCTTCAAGACAATTTTGAGAAGGGTTTACTTGTCACAGCCGGAATAGAGCTGGAGACCCAGCTATGGAAAGACTTTAGTCAACTTCTCTCGAGAAACAAATTTCAATCCGCGTGCGTGTGGAATGTAATTCTAATTTTCATAAAGTCATCTCAGGCCAAGAAAGCTTCACAAGGAAAAATACGACGTGTCCCATCCCTAGTTAAACGCAATAATTCCATAAGACATTGACATAAGTAGTAACAACCTCGAGCTTTCCACCGGTCCAAGGTTAAGAAACGAGGTGCAGAAAATAGTGTTTCTTACCCCATATTCTAAAACCGTCATTCCAGGAGAGGTTGGTGAAGGAGCAATGTTTCCAGCCTCTCCTCCAGGGTGTCCAGGGCGTCCAGGAGGCCCCGGTGGTCCCGGTATGGTGCTTGGAGGCCCGGGTGGTCCAGGAGGTCCGCGAAGTCCAACTAAGGTAGAGTTACCCTATATAGTAAAAATTATGGGTTTTAGCTTTGTTCAAAGCCACATTCGCAACATGGTCTACTTATGACCACTTTCATTTCGACACGATTACGAATACAGAACCGTATCGATCATTCTACTCACCGTTGATATACCGGGTGGTCCAGGGGGACCCTGGGGTCCGGGTGGTCCGGCAACTGTTTGCACTTCTCCTCGTTCTCCCTAAAAATACACCACGACAATCAGTGGGGTTAATAACTGAGCTTACTATTAAAAAGTATTTTCTTTATAGCTTTAATTCCTAACTGCGAACTGGGACTGCGAACAGGGAGCGAACTTTCAAGGTTGAGGAAAATACTGGGTCGAATTGGTATTGCAGTGCATTGTGGGGCTATTTAGGGAATATATTTCCAAGATGGCGTCTATTTCGTCCCCTAAAACAGTCCCACAATGCACTGCAATACCAACTCGACCCAGTGTTTTCCTCAACCCCGGAATGGCTAATAGTACCCCTATCCCTTTTGCATGGCTTTCAGGATGTATTATTAATTAAGAACCCTGCTTTTAATATTTCACACCTGGTAGTATGACTTGACACTTTTATTACCAATAGAAAACAGGAAATGAAATGTGGTCGTAGTAGTAACCATACATTAGAAGGGAAAAAAGATTATGTCTAAGAGGAAATTGAAACCACAACCCAACCACCCTGAAGCAATGTTTTGGGAGACAGTTCTAAATTCACACATTGATAACTCAAACACATTAAGAAGATCAACTATCGAAAAGAGTTTGTGCCTCACCTTTGGTCCTGGTAAACCTTGCTGACCGTCTTCTCCCTAATGAAAGAAAAACACAATTATGGCTCGATCATTCTCTTCTAGCCTATTAGTTCGTTTATACCACCATTGATACACCATTTTCGAGTTCAAAAGTACCGCTGTGTTCCTTGATTTCAGAATCATTTACACATGGTTAGCCTCGTATAAGTGGTTTAAATATTCACAAATACCAAAGGTAAAGCAAAGAATGCATAACTTCAACAATACAACAATACAAACATGCACTTTGAAATTCCATGGACCTTGACTGGAACACATGATTATTCTGCACAGAAAACCTGAGCAATAGAGAACTCTAAGCTGAAGCATTAGACCCTTCGTCCTCAATCGTGAGCAATACGAGTCAAATAGCAGGGGCGGTGTAGCTTTTTTAAAAGTGGCAAAAGGGTTTGGGGCATGTACCAAAGGTAGCCCAGCAGTAAACCCAAGCCTTGTCCCAGGATTTAAAAAAGAAGATAGGCATGGTTCTTCGTTTATCAACCAAAACCTTTCAAAAAACAGCCCCCTACCCCGTCTGCGCCGCCTCTGAATAGGAAATAAATKATTCCCAGTAATCGTTTGATACTTGCTCGTACCTTTTCTCCATCATTTCCTTTCGGTCCTTGCGGTCCAGGCTTACCACTGTCTCCCTTAAAAGAAATATGAACATAAGATCTCAAATCAAATACGAAGCAACTATTGGACTAAATATTGCAAGATAAGGAGATATACTGCTTTCCCGAGGTCCAGTGCCCGGTCGTACGAAGAGCGGATAGCGCTATCCGAAGAATAAGTCTTTATCCAGTGGATAATTTGATGCTGTTATCCAATAAATGTATCCACTGAATAAGATTTATCCGTCGGATAGCGCTATTCACCTTCCGTACGACCGCGCGGGGCTCAAATAAATAAGGGTTTTGTAAGAAACTAAGGGTAAAAGATGAGAACACAATACAAAAAAGGAAACTTAAGGCCAGGATGAGCAAGACAGAAGAATGATTGCAGCTGTCCCTACTGAGGTCAACCCACCATTGTCATTTCCATACCTTAGCACCTTGTGGTCCAGGATTTCCATTTATTCCAGGATTGCCAGGTATTCCAGGAAAACCAAAATCTCCTTTATCACCCTTAGGTCCCGTGGGTCCGGTTTTTCCTTCTTTGCCTTCAAGGCCGGGTTCTCCTTTTGCCCCGGCTGGTCCAGGAGGTCCTTCAGGTCCAGGGGATCCAAGTTGTCCTCGTTCTCCAGAGTCACCTTTTAACCCTTTGCTACCCGGGAATCCTAACGAGCCCTGAAATTACAACAAATTTTTTTCTCATCTACACCTGATTATATTTTTAGAAAACGTTTTATTCGAATTTGGAATAAAATGAACAGAGATTTAACAAAGTTAGGATTTTTCTGAATTTCTTATATTATTCCTCGTAGATGTTTCTAGAGAATTTCATAACTCTAATGATGGTAATAACAAACTTACCGCGAAACCTCTGAGTCCCTGCTCACCCTTCTGGCCCTAAACAAGAATAATAGRGATGATCACAATACTATTAACAATATAGCGCCAGATACAAAAATTTATTGAACTGCTAATAAAAGTGGCACTCAACACAGTCATTCATATGTCAGCTAGTTCTTTCCCACTGATTCTAATGTCGAGGTTCTTTCTTTTCTTACTGCGCGCGCAACCATGTGGGTTATCGTTTTTTACATTACAATTTTTACAATAGAAGAAACGCAGTCTCTAGGGAGGGAGGTGTTCCGCGCGCTCATACATTACATCGCAGGAAACGCTTAGGGAACGGGAATCTACTGATGTTATGCATGAATCGTAGTACAATAAGATAACAATTTTTTAAAGTAATCATCCTATGTAGAACTCAGACAGAGTTTCCTGTCTCCGTCCGCAGACATTTCCTTCATGCTAATTAATCATGAAACTAGATTGTAAATTATTGACAATACACGAATATAGAAATGCATTATTTCTCATGATTTAGTTCTATAACAACAAAAGCTTTCATAGTACAATTACCTTTATTCCTACACCCTTCGCGCCCTGGAAAACAAAGACAAATACACATCAATATAAGTTAAAGACCAACAAGATACGCGACTGAGGTCAAAAATCTATTCCAGTAAGTTTACCTTTTCTCCTTTGGCACCTTTAGAACCAGAAGGACCAGGGCTTCCCTGGAAGTAAAACACACAGTTGTGGTCAGTTTGGCAATTACAGTTATTCACCATTTTCCATAAATCGGTTTACTAGTCAAACACAAAGGATTCAGTCGAGGTTGCAAGGTTCAAATGTGAATAATCCTTTGAAAGTACCTTGGTGCCTCGCTTGAACGCTTTGTGTTTGACCAGTGAACCGATGTATGGAAAATGGTGAATGTGACATTCATGATATATTACTGTCGTTCTACTCTAGCCATAAAAGCTCGAGTTAATTTAATTTAATTTTTTATTTGTGTAAATAAATTATTATTTTTTCCTTCTCTTTCATCATTTCATCTCCTTGAATAGCTTTTATAGACTTTCAATATATGTAACTCGAATGATATTGTTTTCGATTCGTAATCTGATTGGTTGACAAACTCGAGTGCTCACGGTTAGTTAGAGTAGAACGACAATAAATATGAAAGTTGATCCAAAGCGAGCCTCTGTTACACGGAGCTAATGTTTTTACCAAGCGCAATGGGTTTGCCCACGGTTCAACTCAGTACACTAGTATACTTACCTCTAATCCAGGATATCCCGGTGGTCCTTGACTACCCTGCAATACCAACAAGATTATCATTCAGATGGTGGTGTAGGAGCTGGTTCAGCTATTTCTCTTGTTATTACAGATACAAGTGTGCGCAGAAGCGAAATAGTTAAATCACAGCACGGTCACGGTACTCTAAACATCCGTCGAACCAATCAAACGCGCAAGAAGACCTGTGCTCTTCCAGCCAGTATGCTGAGACATGGCATGTGTCTTGCACGTCAGAGGCGTAAGATTTTGGCATTCATACAAAGGATTTAAAGAGTTTCACGGATATTATTAATTTGTACTGACATACCTGAGATCCTGTTGGGCCTCGAGGTCCTTGTGGACCAACTAATCCAGGTTGACCAACTTCACCCTTTAAATAAAACAAGTAACAAGATATCAAAGTAAAGTGCGAAAACTTACGTCCCTTGAGCCACGTGTGGCACAACAAGCGGCAACTCCAAGCGCCATTACATGCCGTCTGTTAATATAGCGTGATTAGACTTATGGTGCAAAGCCATGATAATTCGGTCAGCTGTCCCTTATTTTCTTTTCGAACTAGATATAAATACCTGGGCTCCTTTAGCTCCTTTTCCACCAGCAGGACCGACATCACCAGCAGGACCCTGAGAACAGAAGGCCAGTATCAATATTAATATATAATATTATCCAAGGATAAACAGTTGGAATGACTTACCACAGGTCCTGTTGGGCCAGAAGGTCCTTGGGGTCCAGGAGGTCCTTGAGGACCAACATCCCCTTGTTTGCCAGGGACTCCTTTAGGGCCTTGATCTCCAGGCTCTCCTTGGGTACCTTTAGGACCCTGTTAAAAAGATTACTGATTAAAACAAAGTGCCAACCAAGGCCAAGTAAGACAAAACACAAAAATATATTATTACCTGTAATCCTGGCTTACCAGGATCGCCACTTGAGCCCTATCATGAAATACAAAGGTTTTGAGAATGCAAGCTTGGCTACGTATACAAATAGGTAGGAAAAAGGCGAAAAGTCATTACAAGACCAAAAGGAATTATGGGCATACATCTAAACAAGAATAATCGAGGCGTTTAAAATGGTTTTGTCCAATTCAGCCAACTTAAGTCATTCCAGCTATTGTTGGATCTCGGAATGATATTTCTCCTATCGCTTACTGCCTATCGTCTATCTTATCACCTATCTCCTGTTGGCTCCGACAAAGTTTTTTGAAATAGGCGCATACTTGTTTACGGTTATAGGTTCACCGTTCATTAACAAGTATGGACAAAGCTTTAAAGTGCTTCTAGTAGTTATTGTGATCACTTCCAACAATTCTGATTTCAGGGGGTTTGCAGAATATTATAGAAATCTTCAATGACACTATTTCAATTTGTTTCAATTTCTTCTCAACATTCTATACATTATTCAGTGGGCATTAGGACTATACTATTAATATATAAAGTATGTTATCTATCCATGAAGAAAGCTATTATATATCTCGTTTACCTTGTCACCAGTTTGTCCAGGTGGCCCTTGCTTGCCGGATGGTCCGATAGGTCCATCTTCTCCAGCTTCACCGGATTCTCCCTTTACTCCTGGAGGACCCTTGAGTCCCTACACCAATAATACAATACATAATGCAGTTATTGACACTTACGGGTGAACCAGGATTTCGGACAGCCTCCCCTCCCAAAAGTAATCTAGCCCCTCCTGCACCCCGAGGGCGATATTCTTAGAAACCTCACCCCTTTGCGGTGTTTGAGCCCATTCAGGCCCTTTACCCGCGAAAAAACAATACATACAGTGATAAGTTATATACACTCCTGTTAGCTAAGTTCCATATGTATAGCAAGGTACTTACGGGTGAACCTGGTTCTCCTTTTGACCCTTTAGGACCTTTGTCTCCTTTGACTCCCTTTCAAATAAACAGAAACAGAAAAATCATATAAAATTAGGATCAAGATTAAGATCAAAAAGACAAGGAATACACTCCATGAACAACTGAGAGAACTACGCGCATGTGCGCATGATGCTAATGAAATATGCGCGTTATAAATATGAAAGTTATTATTGATACATTACAACAAGTAAACACAAAACAAACGAACCAACCAGACTAGACCAGATGAACAAACGTACCTTGCTGTTGGTTTTTTGACCCTCGGGTGGTTTGTTAACCTCCTAAAAATGAAGATGAAAACGTATTCTTACTTCACTGGCCTTTTAATTAATTCTGTGTTTAAACTATCTTTTGTGCTAACATAGGCAATTCCGTGCACCTCGTCTCCTTGTAGGTTGCAGAGCGAATGATAATTGTACTACCACTCCACGTGCAAAATATTATACACTACACTGCACCACACCTCATAATACCATACCATACTGCACTGCACTTCACTGCACTCCTCTCATCTACACAGTACATACCGTGATCAAGCCTGGAGGTCAGACCGCACTAACTACACTGCATGGCACTATACTGCACCACACTACACTACACTACACTGCACCACACCTCATAATAACATACCATACTGCACTGCTCTGCACTCCTCTCATCTACACAGTACATACCGTGATCAGGCCTGGAGGTCCAGGTGGGCCTGGTGGTCCGGGGGGGCCTTCAATGCTTTCACCCTAGAGAAACGTAATAACATTAGAATCACATCCTCACAGTACAAGGAAGACTTGAATGATTTAGTTGGCGAATGGATAAAAACCAATCTATTCAGGCATTGATATATCAACTGTTCGGTTCAACAGATATTCGTAACACACGCCGTGACAAACCTTTGGTCCCACAGGCCCAACACTTCCTTTGCTGCCCTGTAAATAACAAACACAGAGACAAAGGTTAGTTAATGTTAGTGAAAGCAAGTAAAATAATTAAAATGTACAATGAAATCTTACTTGCGGACCAGGGGGTCCTGCGGGTCCAACTGGACCAACTTCTCCAAGATCTCCCTGGAAATACAGGAAATATATATCATCACACCTGTTGCTTCTGTACTTTGCATCCACTAGAGTCAAGCAAGATGAATGAACAAACGAGAGTGGATGGATAGATGGACGGATGGATGGATGGATGGAAGGAGTATTGGGTGCATGATTGGATAGATGAATGGATAGATGAATTACCGATAGGATAGTATAGAGGCGTTGCATCATCACGTGATGGCAGCCATGACAGGAGGCAGGAACAATGGAATCTGGTCTCATCTGATTTACATGAGAAAGAATTCTCCCATTGGGAAATACTCTATTGTTGTGCCTCCTGTCATGGCTGCCATCATGTGATGGTTCAAAGCCTCTATTGAGTGGGTGAGTGGATGGCAAATTGATGGATGGACAGATTGACATATGGACAGATGGGTGGTTGGAGGGAGGAAGGGAAGGGAGGAAGGGAAGGAAGGAGGGAGGGAGGGAAGGGTGGAGGGAGGGAGGGAAGGATGGAGGGAGTATGAGGTGGAAATGTGGATGCTATGTTGGATTGATACCGAAACAGTAACACGCTAAACCCCACTCCATCAAATCAGCAATATGGCGATGATGACGTACCTTCTCTCCTTGGTTACCCTTCAAGCCTTGGATACCCTGAGGACCTTGTGGTCCAGTGACGCTCTACAAAAGTAATATTGCCAACAAAAATTGATTAACCTTTGTCCTGCCTTAAGGGCAAGGTTTTTGAATAAACTCTTTTCGAATAAATCTCAGTGACATTTAATCTAGAGAARAAAAATCATGTTAATGACTGTGGGCCCAAGCGTCTGCCTCAACCTTGTTCACTCTCTCTAGCGACTGGATAAGAATTACTTACCGGTCCGGGTGGTCCTTGGGATCCGTCTACACCATCGTTTCCCTTGGAACCTTGTTCTCCCTTTACTCCCTAAGATTCCATAACATAACGTTACCACACTTTTCTGAATATACTAAAAAAACACTCATACAGGACTTAAGAAGTTGACAGTTAAGGAATTTATTATTACCAGTAGACTGTTAACAGTCACTCTTTTTTTCCCAAACTGATTTGAGTTGCGTTTTTTTCTCCGTCTTGGATGCGCGGACAGTTAGGGAGAGTTTGAAGCCAATCTCCGTGCGTTTACAGGAATTATAAAAATCATTATTCTAAAACCCCATCAAATCAGAGTCTTGAAGGAAAAGTGGGACTGTTCACAGTCAAAATTATCATATTAAAGTTCCAGTAATTTGATTAAACGGATTACATTCATTTCCATAATTACTCCACTAAAACAGCCTAATAATTCTTTTTTGCTTTCTTAAATTCAAAAACTACTAACTAGACCAATGTAATTGAATTTGATTGATCGAAGCCAGAACTTTGTCATGAACTGTGTTGGTCGCTTAATTATGGGTGTAGATATAAAGTACGATGAACTACAGACTAACCTTATCTCCCTTAGGTCCACTTTCTCCGGTGTCTCCTTTTACGCCCTACAGCATGGTATCAAATATGTTGTTAATACCAGAACAAGTATTCAGCCAAAAAGGAAAAAGCGAGCAAATGATAGTATTTTTTCGTTTGCACGTTACGTCATCGCGGCCATGTTGGTACCATTTAACAAAGGATTTCTCATTAGCATCCATTGTTAACGGTACCACAATGGCCGCCATGTTTTTGTCTTTTAACTCTCTTGGGAATGCTTGCAACCCATCAATAACACTGTGTGGTACCTTATTGCCTGGGAGGCCAGTTTCTCCTGGTGGGCCAGCAGCTCCTTCAGCACCCTAATAAAAGAATGCGGTCAAAATATTGTCACTGTCGTCATGTTGGATTGCCTCATCATTATAGCAGTAAGGAATAAGTATCACAAAATTTATCATTTAATAGTTTTATTCTTTTATTGCTGATAAGCTTGAAAACTAGCGCGCGAAAGGGGTGCAAAATTGAATTTGTAGATCTTCAATTCGGAAAATTAATGGGCGTTCAAAAGATCCCCAGATATCGTTTTCACAGTCTCAAGTCCAACAAAATGTTTTGACAATCCTTGCCAGCCCAAGTGAAGTGATTGGCATTTCGTAAACAATTTTTAAAATGCTTTCCTTAAATATTTCTTGCGTAAAGATGCACAATTTTGTTAATGCTTGATGTGGTAAAAGGTACTTTGCGGCAACCACCATCATCACGTACCTTAACAACAGCAACAAGCCCGGGGGGACCTGGAGATCCATGACGTCCTCGTGGACCCTGCAATCCATTTTTCCCTGGTGTTCCCACTTCTCCCTTGATCCCAACTCCTTGGGCTCCCTAAACGAAAGAAAACAAAATAGTCGCTATGTATACAACATCTGATGTCAATTTAAAAAAAAAAGAAAGTTACCTTCTCTCCCTTGATGCCAGGTTTGCCTTGGTCACCCTGTGGTAGAGACACAATGATAATTAATTTCCTTTCCCGCAAGTTTCGAATTCAAGGACTAGTAACAACATTGGTCGAAGTCTATGCTGAACAGTTGCTGATGCCAAGCGCGCGAGCAGCCAACTTTGCCAAAAAAGAAGTGAACTTCTGAACAACCTCTTTGCATATAATTTGTTACAGTTCAACTGCTGTAACCGGGACCACCAAGACAAGTCAGAAATGCCACAAATTCCATTGAGAAAAACTGATTTCTTTTGAATTCCCATGTTAGCCTCGGATCCACGATACGATAAGAAGGCTCCATTTGCCCTTAATATTACGTGTTAACAACTATATAGCCATGTTCATTTTCTCGTGGGAATAAAAAGTCAAAAGGCTAATGTTTTCTGCTGCTTTCTGATTGGCTCCACTATTCAAAGTTGGAGTTAATAGAATATTGTTGGGTTTTTTACATACCTTATCTCCTTTTTCTCCAACAAGTCCGACCTCTCCTTTTTGTCCTTGGGTCCCTGTCAAACCCTTAGGATACGAATATTACGAGTCAGTCAACATATACGAGTAAAAGAGTTAATATATACGGGAATACGTACCGGCTCTCCTTTGATCCCATTCACTCCAGGTTCTCCGTCTCCACCTCTATCACCCTAAATATTTCACAACAATACAGATAATACAATAATAAGCCATAATAAGACAACCTATCACATAATCGTAAGGCTTCAGTCAGGCTTGTTACCAATAAATAATAAAAAAAACTTCATCTCCAACTTTGAGATTTTTTTRGGAAACAATGCTAGTTTGGCTGACCGCCTATAGTTGTTCAGTGAAGGAGACAAAGGTGTAGTCAGTGTGCAGTTCAAAAGTCAAAGACTATATACATATTGGTCGTCATCATCATCATCATCATCATCATCATCCTCACCATCATCATCGTCAGTAACAAATGGTGCTTGCATAACCTTACCTTTTCTCCCTTGTTCCCAATTTCGCCCTAAAAAGTACAATAGAAAGTCAGTTAAAGAATCCAGTGTGTTGAGAACTCGCGATTACACTTTCATTTTTCTGTACTATTAATTACAGCCAAGCTAATTAGCTGGATGAAGTGACTTCGATGCTATTGAAGTAAAACATGTAATCTAATAGTATAAATTAAGTGTTTTGCTTAACTAACACTAATCCACCACGTTTGTTTTGGGTTGACCTGTACAATATATATTTTGGGGGATAGGGTGAGCTGCAAGGGCCTTTAGAGGGGAGAATCATGAAGGAAAGTTTATGTCTGAGTTTAAAAGGAATACATTAACAATACATTTTTGTGGAGTGATGAAAGGATCCACTGAACACAGGAGTACTGCAGAGTAAAGAGATTCTCCATCCACCACTCCCTCAATAACGTTTTCTTTTTTTTCTTTTCTTTCCTTTCCCAAATAAAACAATACTTTTTTATCCATACCTTAGGACCTATGTCTCCTTTGGGGCCAAGATTACCGACCTCTCCCTTTCTTCCAGGAAATCCCACCACGCCTTGAGGTCCGATATCCCCCTTTTCTCCAGGAACACCTGGTTTTCCTGGAAGACCAATTTTTCCCATGGTTCCTTTGGGACCTTGAGGGCCAATTTCTCCTCTCAGTCCAGGGAAACCTGGTAGACCCGGATCACCTTTGCTTCCTTTCTGACCTGCACAATCACACATTATAATCCTATTAAAGGGGCATGCTCTATATACCTTTTTTTACACAAAAGTGTTTTTATTTCAGAATATACAAGAATCGACTTTATTCTAAGGAATGTCTCGTGTCTCGTATCTGATGTCCCATGTATCTTGTCTCGTATCAGATGTCCGATGTCCGATGTCCGATGTCCGATGTCTGATGTCTCATGTATCTTGTCTCGTGTCTGATGTCTGATAACCGATGTCTGATGTCTGATGTCTGATGTCTGATGTCTGATGTCTGATGTCTGATGTCTGATGTCTGATGTCTTATTTGATTGAATTACCTGGGATTGGTGGGAAAACAGGTGGTGGCGGTGAAGGTGGTCCCGGCTCTCCTTTTTCTCCTTTTGAACCGTTAAAACCATCTTTTCCAGGAAGACCAGGCCCGCCAAGTATACCCTTAAGGCCTATGGGACCTGGAGGTCCAACAGGTCCAGGAGGGCCCGGGGAACAAGAACATCCATGGCCGTTGGTTATGCTGGCATCACCGGGTGGTCCTGGTGGACCGGGTGGTCCTGGTGGACCGGGTGGTCCTGGTGGACCGGGGGGTCCTTGAATTGAGTCGCCAGATTCTCCCTGTGAAAGGACAGACATAAAAACAAGTCTAATAGACTTTCTTCGTTGATTGATGTTAAATCACCGTGTTTAATATTGTTACCTTCTGTCCCTGTATTCCTATGGGTCCTTGTTCTCCCTATAGACAGTCAAATCATAATATCAAAAATAATATCAAAAAATAAATGAAGTAAATAAGTAAACAAAATGACGCAAAATGTAGTATAGTACTTCAAACTTAGTTTTTACCGTTGCTCCCTTTTCTCCTTTTGGTGCTCCAGAATCTCCTTTCTCTCCCTGTAAAATTGAATATATATATATATATAAAGAGGTTTGTTACCAAGTGGTTACAAATGGGTTGCATAAAATACCGTGTTGCTTCGATACTGCATACCTTGGGTCCAGCTGTTCCCTTGTCTCCTTTAGATCCCTGTAAAACACCATACATATTATACCATGGTTAGCTTTGATCATAGATTACCAACTTCATACATACATATCCACACACATATCCACACACTCCATACATATTATACCATGGTTAGCTTTGATCATAGATTACCAACTTCATACATACATATCCACACACATATCCACACACTCCATACATATTATACCATGGTTAGCTTTGATCATAGATTACCAACTTCATACATACATATCCACACACATATCCACACACTCCATACATATTATACCATGGTTAGCTTTGATCATAGATTACCAACTTCATACATACATATCCACACACATATCCACACACTCCATACATATTATACCATGGTTAGCTTTGATCATAGATTACCAACTTCATACATACATATCCACACACATATCCACACACTCCATACATATTATACCATGGTTAGCTTTGATCAATGATTACCAACTTTCATCAGATAAGACACAGGAAAGGTTTACTTTTTATGATAACTTATAATCATTTATAATATAAACCACTTTTTAAAAAATCTGGATCTGCCATGGAAATTAATTCCTTTAAGTAAAAAAATACATTGAAAAAATACAAAAATATAGATATAGTAYATACGGGATACTTACTTTTCCTGGTACGCCATCTTTGCCATTTTTTCCAGGAAGACCTATTGGTCCTATCGGTCCTCGCTCGCCCTAGCGGGAAAATTAGTAAATTAGAAATGTTGTATTATACGATTTTATTGTACTAAACATCCGCTATGTGGGACAGTTACTACGCAACCTTACCAAAGGGAATGAATCTCTGGAAGTAACAACAACAATGATATATGTAAGCTGTACCTTTTCTCCTTTGGTCCCGTTTTCACCTTCCTTGCCTCCAATTCCTCTGTCACCCTGATAGATATATTTTTAAGTTTATCAAAAAAGAAAGAATTATTAGATCGTGCTTATGACAATTCTGGATGTGCGTGGAATGTTTCTGGATGTTTCAAGGAAAGGTGTAGTACTTTCCTGCAAAGGCGTACAACAAAATCTCCCAAGAACATGGTGTAATAATAAAAGTAACGTTAGTAAAAAATAAAACTATTAAATAGCTTACCTTGGCACCTTTTCGTCCTTCTGGCCCCTGAGGTCCTAGATCGCCTTTAAGTATTCGAAGAACCTTAAAAAGAAACGATGAAATGAATAACGATGTAAGCAAACAATTGTAATTCTCCATTTGAAGTTGTATAAGACTAAGGTCAAAGGTGATCCCCTTTAAGGTTGATGACTGTGATGATCTCATGATGGTGATAACTATAGTGGTGGAAGACGTTTTGGTGTGGTGGTGATGATGATGATGATAGTTATGGTAAATGATGATGATGAAAGTGATGGTGGAGATGATGATGATAGTGACGATCACCGTACCGATGATGATGACCTGTCCAAGATGATGCTGGTAGTAATCTACGTTTTATTTGACAAGCACAACACGTGACATGCAGTTTTAATTAGCTGATCATCCTGTGCTTAGAAATATAGTTAAACTGAAGATCTTACCTCGCCAGTAGACATATTAACATAAGTAGCAGGCAGGCCTGGAGGACCAGGCGGGCCAGGGAGACCACTCGAACCCGCCAAACCACGAGTTCCAGGTTTACCAGGGCTACCTGGCTTTCCTGGAGGACCAGTAATAGTTTGTCCAGGTTCTCCTTTTGGTCCCCTTACTCCGGCAACCTATTGATAAGGATAGATACAGGAACGTCTTAAATAACGAATCTTCATTTGCCACAAACAGCGTGGCATGGCACACGGGAAGGAATTGGCAAATCCCCTTGACCAATCACAGTGGGCAAGGTCATTGCTTATCCAATCACAATTCTCGAAAGCTGCACCGTCACAGAGATTKTCAGTTGTATGAAATTCGGATTCAAGCAAAATATAATCTGCACTTACCAAAGAACAATTGGAAGAGCAGGAGCCAATATCACCCTATAAGTATCACAGGAAAGAAAACATTTTATGTACACCATATTCCGAGCAATATCCCAACAACATCTAATGTAATCTAAAAAAAATCTAATTGGATTTAACACTAGAATTAGAATTTAAAAGTTGATTTTGACGGAAGGAGGAAAAACCGGATAAAAAACCACAATGCACAAGAGAAACCAACCAATAAGTCTACTCACATATGACGCTGAGCCCGGGAACCGAACAAAGGAATGTAACCCATTAATGTCGCACCCGCTAAGTAGAGCTGTCGAGATTGGCCAAAACAAACAATAGTTTTCATTGCCGACTCGTTTATTTATCCAATTGGGTTAAATCTTCTTAGAGCTGCGACCTTGCCCTAGTAGAACTAGTGCCGCTCGTTGCGGAACACGGGGGACGTGCGTCGCTAATGGACCATTTATCACTAATGCGTCCCGGGTTCGAGTCCCGCTGGACTTGGTGTTGTATGTGAGTAGATTTGTTTGTTGGTTCTCTCCTGTTCTTCGAGGGTTTTTCTCCGGGTTCTCTCCGGTTTTCGGCTTCTCTTCTCAAATATCAACTTCTAAATTCCAATTCGATCTTTGGACTTTCACCTAGTTCTGTTGTGATTATCCCAAGCTGTGATACAACAGCTAAAGCTTAATAGATTCGGAATTTAGGAAATCGAACCCCTGTCACGTTGATGTTTACCGTGGCTCATATCATACCTTTTGTCCTTTAATATACTGTGTTGTACCATTAGAATACACGTAGGCTGTGCGACCAGGAGGTCCAGGTAGACCAATACTTCCACGGTCTCCTTTGCTACCCTTTATTACTGTCAATAACACATAAGTAGGAAATACTGAGTTTATTATCAAAACATCTAGTGACGTTAACTGCCTGTCCACTACATGCGCGAACGCCTTTGCTGCCCTTTGTTATTATCAATAATACCCAATAAAACAGGTTATTAGGTTATTAACTTTTAAGAAATTCCAGGTCGAGTTAAACAGTATGGTAATTTTTACCTGTGCCGTTAAATCCTGTAGATCCTGGCTCTCCTTTTTGACCTTTCGGTCCTGCTTGACAAGGCATCTGCGTTTAATTGAGAAAGATCGAATGAAAAAACCTGTGTGTGAAACTGGTTTTAGAAGGAAGGTCAGGTTGAAGTCTCGACATTTTAACGTACAATATCTGAGGAAAGTTTTACTGAAGAGCGTTTCAGCTGCTTCAAGCTGAACCGAATCCCCTGCATGTTAATCAAGCTCTATTTTCTCCCAGTAACTAGAATGTAGCAGTTTCCTTTATTTAAAAATGTCACAAATGGAAAATTACTCACTCTGGTGGTACATTGTGCTGTTGGCTGTGTAGGTGCCTCTGTAGCTTGAGCACCAATTCCTATTGAATAATAATAAAAAAAAGCTTACCACTTTTAAAATTGTACACACGCCAAAGCTGGAAAAGAAAGAGCAAGAGAAAAAGAGCAAAGACAGACGAAGCAAGAAAATAAATTGGAAAGATCACTCCATCCCCCATCAATTCGGCGGTGTATCAAATGTTCTTCTGAAGAGTTTTTGTTAAACATATTACTCTGTGATCGTGACCATGCTGATTACGAGCTATTTTAATTAAATGAACTAACTATAAATAACAGAGATATAACAGATCCAACAATTGCTATCATTCTACG